GACACGTTGCACCCCGGACATGTATACCTAGAAAACTGTCTACGACAGCTTCAGAAATAAATATATAGCATTTGGAAAATAAGTTTTCGAGATGACATAGTTTAAATGCACGTACAGGCCACACAAGACCTTGCTCGACTCCTCAGCGGAATCTTCGTGAACTCGAATTTGTTCCGCTTCGTTCATGATAATGAATCCTGCTGCAGATGTAGAATAGTCAGGGAGAAATGATGAACATCTTCATTCCAGACTCTGATCGAGTGGCTGCTACTATCTATAGCTTGACTCGTCGGGTCGCCAGGAACATACCTTTCTTGGCCGGTTTACTACCGCTTACGATTTGAAAACGCGGTCGACCACAACTCTGCAAGTAAGTACTGTTGAGAGACCACAATCTCCAGCCTTGCTTTAGCCGCTATCTTGCACAGGAAGACGCAGTTCTGAAGGCAAAATGGTGGAAGCACATTTGGTTGATTCTAAATCAACATTCTCGATTTTTGCTCATTTACTAGATGCCCGCATACTACGCGCCCTCGCAGACATGGGCTTCGCTCGCCCAACCCTCGTCCAGGTGAAAGCCTTGCCCATTGCGCTGGAAGGTCGCGATATCCTTGCAAGAGCTCGGACAGGCAGTGGCAAAACCGCCGCATATTGTATCCCAGTCGTGCAGAAAATTCTTAGTGCGAAATCTGTGGGTGTATTACATTCAGATCAGCTGTATCAAACACTCATTTACTCGTGCAACAAGTCGTTATCCGCCTCAGATGAAATTTATCAAGTGACACGTGCTGTAATCCTTGTTCCCACTCGCGAATTGTCCGAACAGGTCACGGCATGTCTTCAAAGCCTCCTTACTTATTGCGAGAAGGAGATTATCGTTGTTAACTCTGCCACTGGTTCCTCTACACATCTGCAACGGTGAGATGTTTTCGGCTGCTCATATCGCTTGCTTATGACTCGAGTATCCAGTGCACTTCTCGCAGATAAGCCAGACATCGTCATCTCAACTCCTTCTCGTGCCCTCGGGCTGCTTCAATCAAAGGTGTGTCATAATCTCACAGTACATGGAGTGTACCTCATATCTATCCAGACTTTGAACCTCTCTTCACTGGAATCCCTTGTTATCGACGAGGCTGATCTCATTTTGTCCTACGGGCACGATGAGGACGTCCGACAAATCTTCTCCGGAGGATATCTCCCAAAGGTGTATCAGTCATTCTTGATGAGTGCAACCATGACAGATGATGTTGAGACATTGAAAGGCTTGGCTCTTCGTAGTCCAGTGAGCTCATCAACTCACCAACTTTTGTCTCTGCTAACTTCGGTCTTCAGGCCATCCTGAAGCTGGAAGAAGATAAGGATGAAACTTTACTCCTCAGCCAATACTCTGTTCAGTCAGTCCCGTATGGTTTCATCACTTGTTGATTCTTACCTCTCCTTAGGTGCTCCGAAGTCGACAAATTCCTTCTCACATATGTCATCCTCAAACTCCGCCTTATAAAGGGCAAATGCATACTGTTCGTCAATGACGTCGACCGCTGCTACCGCTTGAAACTATTCTTGGAACAGTTTTCAATAAAATGCTGTGTGCTAAACTCTGAGCTTCCCCTTAATTCCAGGTGCGAGAAAACTTGTGACACATGTTTTCACATTTAACATTTTATAGGTACCATACTGTGCAGGAGTTTAACAAGGGTGTTTATGAATACATCATTGCAACTGATGAAAACAGTGCCCACGCGGAAGCTGATTCTGACGATGAACCTGAGGAGGATGGACTTCAGGATGGTGTTGACGACGAGTGTAGGTTACATTCGTTCAGAGCTTTGATTACTTCTTACGGCTTCTCAGTGACGCCGACACAACGTGCGGAGACAAACCCAGACGAAGACATGCAACTTGAACCCGCGTCTAAAAAGCGGAAGCATCCCCAAAACACTCCTCAACCTGGCCCCTCCAAACCAAAGAAACAGAAACGCCGTACGAAGTCGGACAAAGAATACGGCGTTACACGTGGAGTAGACTTCATCGACGTTGCTTGTGTGCTCAACTTCGATCTACCCGCGTCATCTCGGTCATATACCCATCGCGTAGGACGCACTGCCCGTGCTGGGCGGGCAGGTATGTCACTATCCTATGTCGTCCCTAAAGATCAATGGGGTAAAAATAAGGTCGTCGGTGGCCTTGAAAGCGCAAAGAATGACGAGGTTGTATTTGCAAGGATTGAGAAAGAGCAGGCGGGACGTGGTTCCAAAATACAGGAGTACAAGTTTGATATGAAACAAGTGGAGGCATTCCGGTATCGAATGGACGACGCACTGCGGTCCGTGACAAGAAGCGCTATCAAGGAGGCTAGGATCAAGGAACTTAAAACTGAAATTATCAACTCAGAGAAACTCAAAGTAGGTACTTTGGTCGCTTTACTTGTGCGTTACTAATGTACTGCACAGGCCCATTTTGAGGACAACCCACTCGATCTCGAATATCTACGCCATGACAAACCGCTACATCCCACCAGGGTTCAGGCTCATATGAAACATATACCAAAATATTTGCTTCCTCGTCTAGTTTCAGCTCCAGCTATCGAAGCTGAAGAGTCCCAAGTCAGTTTCGTACCTTTCAAAAAGTCCTCTGCACGCGGTCGTGGCCGCGGCCGTGCTCGCGGTGGCAGAAGTGGTGGGGGCGGAGGTCGTGGTGGGAAGAAAAAATCTGATCCTCTTAAGAAGTTTCGATAGTGTGTTACCCAGCATATAATGGCACCCAGAATTATATTTCATCGTATCACTTCCATTTTATTCGTAAACGCCTTCATCCCAGCCCTTTGACCTCTCGACGGCACGCAGCCATGCAGTCCACCCCCTTTCCCGATCCTCCTCGGGCATATGGGGATTGAAAGTTCGGCTACCTTTGGTATTGACTTCCGCCAAAGTCGCTGGCTTAGATATGTCCCAACCGAATAGCCGGATGGCTGAGCCAGCAAGAAGGGCCGAACCCAGGGCGGTTGATCTGCCTTAACAGTTAGCGTGTTATCTTGTTATAGGTATGCACATACTCTCTCATGTCAGGACGGACGACGTCGAAACCACCGATGTCCGCCAAGATCTCCATACAAACATCACCATTGGTCATGCCTCCATCGACCTTGAGGTGCTCGAGCTTTGTGCGTGAATCAAGTTTCATGCTCTCCAGAACTGCACGAGTCTGGAAAGCAGTAGCTTCCATAGTCGCACGAGCAATATGTGCGGGAGTGGTATACGAGGATAATCCTGTCCCGGAAATTCGCTATTATGTCAAAGAGACATGATAAATTCAGCGTACCGATAAGTAGGCCTGCAGCACCGGGATCCCAATACGGTGCGAGGAGGCCAGAAAACGCAGTTACGAAGTACACGCCTCCAGTATCAGGTACTGAAGCTGCCAATGTGTTTATCTCGCTGGCGGACTTGATGAAACCCATGGAGTCCCGCAGCCTGACACGAACACTCAGGGGGTGCAATAAATCAAGACTTGTATCTTACCATTTGATGGCGCCTCCAGCAACTCCAACTGCACAAGGTTATCACGTGTATAGTACCAAAAAAATAACACTTACTACTCCCTTCCAGTGCATAAACTGGGACAGCCCCTGGACCGGGTTGGTAAGCCACCTTACGAAAAACTCGTGAACAATAGTGCGTGACACCCTGAGAAAGCTCTCTACCGTGCTCAGAAGTCCATGACTACTGTTGACAATGTCCTTGCCCGTACAGAACAGGAGGAACGCACCCGTACCATACGTGCATTTGGCTTCTCCTTGGCGGAGACACTTGTTTCCCACTAGAGCGCCTTGCTGGTCCCCAATAAGTCCTCCAATAGGAACCCCTCTCAGCGGGCCGTGAGACAGATGGCCATACACCTCGGAGGAAGATACAAGTTTTGGTAGTATTGACCGTCGGAAACCGAAGAACGTCAGTAGCCGCTCATCCCAAGTAAGCTTGTGCAGATTTAGCAAAAGGGTGCGAGATGCATTCGTGACTTCGCCAACATGAATACCGCCCTGGACGCCACCTGTAAGGTTCTGTGCGTACATCAGGAAAATCCGTCACATTCCTTGATAGAAGGACGCCTACATAAACAACCCACGACTCTATTGTCCCGAAAAGTAGATCATCTTCGTCGTGGGCCTTCTGGACTTCACTGTAGTTGTCAATCATCCATCGAAGTTTGATCCCAGAAAAGTACGTGGAGAGCTTCAGGCCCGTACTATCCAAGAATTAGCGACCAGATCCCGTAGAGCTACATCACTTACATGTCACGTAGAGCTTCAACACCTTCTTCTCCGGTCTTCAATTGCCCAGGCTCTACCTCGATGCCGGTCGTAGCCAACAGGTGCTCAAAATGAGCGACAGTGTTCTTCGTACGAGAATCGGTCCAAACGATAGCCTTACACAGAGGTTTACCTGTAGTCCTACTCCATACAACAGTGGTTTCACGCTGATTCGTAATTCCTGTAATTCATGAAGGACGAGGACCTTTTGAGTAGGATGAACGCAAGTACCGATCACTTTCACGCTCTCCTTGGCCCATCCTGCTTCTTCGAGTTTCGCACAAGCCTGAGTGATACACTGCTCTGAGATTTCTTGTATCTCTTCAGGGTCGTGCTCATGCCACCTGTCATATGCAGCGCCAGTAAGGCATCCAGGGTCTCAGGAACAGAAACTAGGGGGCGACTACTCACCCTGGGTTCGGGTAATACTGCGGGAACTCCAATTGATGCTGGGAAACGATGTTTGCGTACTGATCAAAGACGATGAACCGCACGGAACTGTAAACATGGACCCAGCCGCCATTGACTATCAGTAATCACGGGGAAGGTCGTAGCCATACGTTGTGCCACAATCAAGAGACCCAACAAACTCGCCCTGTTTCAAAGTCGACATGGTGGTGCAAAGATGGGGTGCCAGCAGTAGAGAAGGGTCTTTGACGCTGGTGGCTCCTGACCACAACTATATTCCGTCGTCCATCTGAGTAACTGTTCCGACCGGCCGGCCCGCCGACCAGCACCGATCCTCGACTGAGGGTTTACGAGCTCGCTCAAAGTAGCGTCGACTAGCTTCAAATAAGCTACGAGAGACACTATGAACGGCATGATACAATAATTAGGTAACGAGGATCGTACGCTGACAAGTTCGTGCAATGATAACCGCTGAATCTAGTGGGAGTGTGTAGAGTACATATCACGAAACACCATATGCTTCCTTCTCTTTTTCTGTCCACTCAAAGACAGGAAATGGATGTGCTTCTGTATTGAACACCCACTTATCCAAGGGGACGAGGTCGTCTTCTCGAAAGAGAAGGTAAAGATACTTCAACGTTTCGGCCAAGAAAAAGCTGTCATAATAACATTAAAAAGAAACGCAAGGAGACGCGTAGGTGAGACACGAACCTAGGCATTACATCAAGCTGTTGTGGGTCGTATGTGTCCACTTTGTTAACGTTGGCGTACCCCGATGGAGTCTTCGCTTCCCTTTCGATCGCCTGAAAGATGTCCCATCCACGATGCCGCCATTTCACATCGCCAGTGACACGATAAAGGATGTAAAGCGACTCTATGGTCTACAAAGCGGATATCAGAATGTGACACCATGGAAACCTGTCTTCTTACCTCGGGTCTCAGTTGGTAGTCAGCGTTCTTAACGTAGTAGTCTCTCATAGCGTATGCCATCTCACGCTCTCGCGCATTCCTAGGGGTTCCATCTCCTACCCAAGGGCGCTTATCTCCCACTCCAGGTGGGGGACCTCTTCTACCAGATGTTCTCCACTCTTGCATGGCATCCATCCACAGTATTTCAGAACGCGCGCTGCCAGATATCATAGTAATAACATCGGGTCCTAACCCTGTCGGCTGGTCTGCGTAAGTCAGGTAACAGGTCTGTGCAAGCCCTTCGGCGGCCCATAGGTGTAAATCCTTTAGATCGAATGAGGCAAGCTCCTCATAGCCCAATTGCTGCTGAGGGAGCAGATCGTCTGCAAGCGCAGTAAAGTTCAGTCCAACCTCTTCTAGATTATTTAGGGGAAGAGTGTGAGCTCCAAGGGCGAGCAGGCCAGGGAAAAAACAAGACAGATGCTCTAAGTTGTGTGTAGGGCGATTACCGGTCCTATATAATTTCGAATCCGTGACGTACAAGAGATGGCGGTTCGGCGAGATGTACATCAAGTTATTGAGAACGTGGGTGGTGAAGCGGAGGTCTACAGAGAGTAATTAGGTAGAGATGAAAGATTGGCAGGCGAAACCTTACACATCTCGAGATTTGCCTTATCCGTGCGAGCAGTCATTAGGTACTGCTTGAGGGTGTACTCGTGGGCGCTGTCGGACGCTGCACCAACGGAAAGGTGTGCTGGCAATTGCAAGAATGCAGTCAGCAGGACTCTATCTACTATGCATCAGGCACGTACAATCTTTTGCCTGTCCCGACGATATATTCCAAAACATCGGATACATGCCGCCATGTTCGCGCAAATCGGCATTGACAAAGTTACGTGTGGCGGTTGTAGCCTGGGTGTAATAGGCTCAACCTTACACGCGATAGAGTTAATTTTGAACTCACTCGGTCGACATGTTCCTTCTTACCAGTAATCTTACCGAGATAGGCGTATTCCATTTGATAGCTTGCAATCTCTGCCAAGCTTCCAAGCAATGGCCCGTCGCTTGTGCCTCTAAAGCAGAAGATTAGGCCTACAGAAGCGGTATGGATTGGAAATGACGGGGGTTACCTGACGGTGTTTACGCCGTACTTAGGAAAACCACTGGCGGTCCTGAATGCAGGAGCCAATATTGTGCCAAGTTCATCAGCGCGAGTGCGCAATATATCGTCGTTCGTCAGTGCATAAGCGGAGAGAAGGCCGCCAAGTTGACGTATGACAGTCTCAAAGAATGGCACGCGGGTATTCTGTAGGCAACTTGAGACTCGTTGAGAGATGCTAGAGGACATCGCTCACCGTAGGTAGGGAGAAGTTTGTATTATGCACAGCTGTCATTGCGCGCTTATATTCTTGTTCTAAGCCCATCATATGCATCGTGTCAAGGGAGTCAACTGCAGTGACGGCCCATCCATTGAAGCTTTGTATCTTTACGTGAGTGGATGTGGGGTAATTGAAAGGCATACATAAGCTCACTTATTAATGCTGGTATTCGATAAAGGGCGGAGTTCATCATTTGGGAAAGCAAAGCGCTCATAACCATGGTAGGCATGCAAGAAGGCGTCCCTAACTTGAAAGGATCTTTCTGTCCATACCTCTGGTGTCACGGGGGCGTAGTGCATGGCATCGGCAGGAAACGAGTAGCGGAGATAGTTGAAATAAAGCGTGAGCAGTGCTATGGACAAGGCGAATGCAAATGCAATATGACGAATGGAGACGCCTCTGCGACGCAGCGATGAGGAGGCTTTGGCAGCTACATTGTTTCCTAGGAGGCCGGCAGGGAAATTCATGATTGAGGAGTAAGATATGGGGAAACCTATGCAGTGGGAATGAGTGGTGTAGAGGGACTTGCTACGTGAATATAGTGCAGAATGAACTCGGAGTCCACGCCCAAACACCCACGGTAGGAATGTAAATCGATTGAGCTCCACCTGCAACCAGTGCTCGAGAAGGCAGCAAACCGCGGGCCCCAGACAACACTGACACAACAATCAATCGACTAGGAGCCTGAGAGCGTTTACACACGTAGTCATAAGGCAAGAATAACCCGTGCACGTGGCAACAACGAATGAGGAAACCACTGGAACTGCGGTCAACGGTCGACTTAACGGAAGGTTACTCGAATGCAACGGAAAGTGATGCGAAGCTACTTTCAAAGTATTCTAGGAAGATGATTGAATATATTACTTGGCTTCTAAACATATTGAATCATGGGCGGAAGCTGGCGGAGCTGAGTTTGAAGTTCGTATGAGAATTGGGCAAGGAGTAAATATGTGAATGACTGATGACCAACATCATCTTCGACTAATGTCTAGCTTCGACAAGACAGTCAAGTTAGCTTGCAAACCAAAGGCCGCGCCTCCAAAGGCAAAGGTGTCTCTTTAATAACACTAATATTGCTTGATTTCACACTAACTTTTATCCCCTAGTACCTAGATCCCATAATTGCTGCTACTTGGTCAGAAGATGGTGCTGTCCATGACGTTTGCAAAGCGCTCGTTCCTCGCCTTCGTGAACCTAATGCAATCGTGCGCAATAAGCCTTATAGCACCTTAGATTACAGCTGACGATCTGGCATAGGTCGTGTTTAAGGCACTAATCGTGCTCCATACCATGATTCGCAATGGAGCGACAGACAACGTCTTGTCTCATCTATCTTCTTCGGAAATTCTTCGTCTGCGAAATGTCTCTGCCAATAACTGGGAAGGTATGTTTTACCCATGGTCATGATTCTCATGGAAATCTAGACCCACTTTTGCTGTACTTAGGATACAACGCTCCCCAGAATCTCCAGCATTACGCAATTTATTTGGACTCCCGCATACGCGCATATCGTGATTTGAAGCATGATGCAATCCGTGTTCAGGCAGAGTCAAATCGTGACATGCGCGTCAATAACTCCATCGAAGAGGATATGGCATACTCCAGTGCTCCGGCCCCAAAGTCAGGATCCACAAAGTCCAGGGCGCCTCAAAGGAGTAAAACAATAATGGGAAGGAAATTACGCGTCATGACTGTGGATAAGGGCCTACTCCGGGAGACCAAGACCGTGCAAATAATGATTGATACCCTGGTAGAGTGCAGGGTACGCCTACACGTCCGAATCTTTCAGATCACTTACACAGTATTTATTAGTTCTATCTCGATGATCTAGAAGACGAATTAACTATAACTGCGCTACGCATGCTTGTCAAGGATTTGCTCATTCTTTTTCAGGCCGGCAATGAAGGCGTCATCAATGTATTAGGTTTGTTTACTCGTCCTCGTGTCATTTTTTCGCTTAAAGAAATCCCAGAACACTATTTCGAGATGTCAAAGATTGACGCCGAGCAGGCGCTCTCCATATATCGTCATTTCTGCACTCAGACAGAGCGAGTGGTCGAGTACTTGGGCGTGGCAAAGAAATTGCAGAATCTACTCAACGTTCCTATCCCAACATTGAAGCATGCAAGTAGAGCTTTCCTGTACTTGTTAAACCACTCACAGATGTCATCAGGCTCCTGTATCGTTGGCGGGTGCACTCCAGGAATACTTGAACGACCCCAACTTCGAGCAGAACAGAATTGAGTACAGGACAAATAAGGAAGCTGCCGACAGAAACGGCAAAAATCGCAGTGGGACTTTGTCTTCGGCGCCTAAAGGTGACTAAGTTCACTTTCGCAGAGCCATAATCTGACCTCTCTCAGCTTCATCGTCGCAAGCAACCTCCACTGCATCCACATCTACCCCATCAAATGGGACGTTCGGTCAAGCTTCCAGTCCCGCACCCAAGCCTGAAACTACTCAGGCTATGGCAGACTTTTTTGCTTCTATCGAGGAAGATAAACCTGCCACGAGTAGCAGGTAAGCCACTGTTAATTGCCGAGATCTGCAGGACGTTGCTCATTTTTCACAGCTCAACATCCAACCATCTCCGTCAACAGCCAGCGTCCAATCCTTTCGTTCAGCGACAAATGACGGGTGCTTTCCAAGGTCAACCCTTCGGTTTCCCTGGTCAAATTCAGCCACAGGCCACTGCCTTCCCACAGTCCTTCCAGTCAGTTCAGCCCAACGCATTTGGTCAGCAACTGCCATCCACTCAACACCAACATCGACCTTTCTCCGCCTTCTTGCAACCACAACCTACTGGATTTGTAATGCCACCAAGCACAGGTTTCTTGCAGCCGCAAGCCACCGGCGCAAACCCATTCAGACAGAGCATGATGATGATGCAGGGGACTGGTGGACCGGCTTTCAACTTTGGGACCACGAATGCTTTGCCCCAATTGCAAGGACAAACCAACACACCATTCCAGCCAACTTCCCAGCCTCAGCCGTCGTGGTCTTCGAACGGATTCGCTATGCAAACGGCATCCACAAGTACGCAGTTTGGACAGATCAATGGGACGCGCACGTCATTTGACGTTCCCTACTCGACCTGCTTCTACTCCCCTCACAACTTTCGGCGCAGCACAGGCGTCTTCGACCTCGCCACCAGTAGCGCAACCTGTCAAATCTCATCAGACTGGTTCGCGCAATCCGTTCGGAGTGCCAACCATGCCAGCCCCGCCAGTGCCAAAGCCACCAACACTGATGGAGCTGGCCATGGGTATCGGAAGCTCGAACAATATTCCACCTGCTGATTCTGCATCACCTCAGACTCAACAGCCACAACAGACAGGCTTTTTTGGACCGCCAGGCGCTTCTGGTGGCGAGTCATCGATATCGAGCGTTGCCTCGTCCTTTGCATTCGGCCGAAAATCAGAGGACAGCAAATTTAGCCCTAGCAGTTTTGGAATACTCAACCCACAGACCACCACGACTGCATCAGATTCTTTATTTTCTTCCTTCTCTCCACCGTCCACGCAACCTACAGGTGCCACCATTGCCTCTACCACTTCTTCCATGTCGCCTTCAGGTGACCAGCTAAAACCCCAAATGACCGGCTTTAGTGGCATCAAGCCATTTAAACCTACATCCTCCTTTGGGGCTTCCTTGTTGGAATCACTACCTCCAATACCACAGTCCGGTCCCACTACTCCTACTGTCACTGGTACGCCCGGTAATTTGTCTTCCCCACCAGCTTCGAGCGGGACAACTCCTGCTTTTGGCGCTGGTGTTTCGAACATCGGGCAGCAGCCCACTGGTGTTGGTGCCTTTAGTTCACAGCCAGACACAAGGCCCACGCTAGGGGTTGGTCTCAGACCCCAGGCAACCGGTGGAGCCAACCCTTTCAGGGCTACGATGTATGCCGCATCCTCGCTCAATGCCGGAGGTGGATCTGTGCAGCCCACTATGGGCTCGCTGTCACAGTTCAGTGGAATCAATGGATCCTCATCCTTTGGATCCAGTTATGGGAGGAGCCCTTTTGGATATCCTGGAGCCCAGGATCCTTCACAGCAGCCTTTCCAACAGCAAAGCGGGACCGCATCACTTATTTAATTTTGACCTATCTCTCACTGTCTCGTTCACGCATCCATTCCTTTTCAATTGTCTCTTATCGCTATCACTCGCTCAAGTTTCCCACTATCGTTTACGCTCGGATATCACATCGCCTGGACGTCTTATTCATTTCTTCTTTACCTGTCTCCTGTATAATCTAGTAGTCGAGCTTGTGCAAGCGTCTTGAATACCAATTTTTCCTTTGCAGTACTGAGGACTCCACAAGTTGAGCGTTGATCAAAGACCCCGAGACACTGTGATCGGAAGTCGCGTCAACAATCCACGCTTCCCGGCGCGGGCTGCACCTTGTTTTTTACCGCCACCAACCTTACCACTACAGGTGTCTAAGTCATTCTAAGATGGCCTCGTGAGTTGCGCCCCGAAGATACCTAGTACTCTCTATTGACGGAAATCATCGTAAATGCAGCGAACAGCCTAAAGCAACGAGGACAGATGCTACCGACGCGTCTGCACCAGATATGACTGTAGAGACCGCTCTCGAACACGCCAGACGTGCATTCGCCCTAAAAAAATACGAGCAAGCAGTTGAATACTATGCTACTGCCCTGGAACTTCAGTACGTGATCGAAATTGGACCCATTAAGCCGTGTTTCTGACGCGCTACGTGTCTTTCGTCCATAGAACAAAGAAGCATGGCGAAGATGCACCAGAAACAGCTAATCTCTACTTCTCGTATGGAAAAGCGCTGTTAGAGAACGCGATATCACAGGCTTCGGTATTGGGTAAGGAGCAGCCCGAGAACGGAGATGAAGCAGAAGGGAAACGTGTGTGACGCGTTTGATTTACTTCGTTGTCGCTGCAACTGATCATTATTCAGCCTCGGGCACCGGCGCCAATGGAAAGGGTCCTATTCTCTCCTTTTCCGGAGATGCAGATGAAGGCGTCGACCTTTTCGGTCAAGCCGCAATTGCAGAAGAAGAGGGTGATGAAGAGGATGCTGAAGGGGAAGATGGAGAGCCGGAAGACGACTTCAACGCTGCATGGGAAGTCTTGGAGCTTGCGCGTGCAATTTACGAGAAAGGCAAGGATGAAGATGACGAAGTCAAAATGAAACTTGCCGAGACATATATTGCCCTCGGAGATGTATCTCTCGAGACGGGTACGCCCACCTTTTCTCGGCTAAGTATCCGCATAATAACAGACTATCCTATAGAGAAATTCGACCAAGCTATCACCGACTACTCAGAGGGACTCGCACTTAAGCTTGATCTTCTCCCGATTTCATCGCGTCAAATTGCTGAAGCACATTATAAGCTCAGTATAGTGCTTGACCTGACCTCTGGGCGACTTTCGGATGCTATCTTACATGCGGAGAAGGCTCTGGAAAGCGTTGATGCTCGCCTAGCAGAACTTCGCGACGGAATTGATGGAAAGCTGCTCCCTGCACCCATTCGGGAAGCCAAAACAGATAAAAAGGGTAAGGGCAAGGCTGTCGCCTCCGACGTACACGCAGATAGCGTGCGCCATCTGACCAAGAGTCAGATGGAAGTCGAGATTAAAGAGTGCGAAGGATTGAAAGAAGACCTCGCGCTGAAGGTGAGCCCGTGCAGGTCCAGGAAGTGTATACTGACGGTGCTTTTGCATAGGTGGAGGAACTTAAAACAACTCCCAGTGAGCCAATAGAGTCTGCTCCTGCAATGGCTGCAAGAGCGTTAGATGCGGAATTGAATGCTAAGCCGGTATCTGTCCCTGGTCAAGCAGCAGTGGTTAACGACTTGACATCACTGGTCGTGAAGAAGAAGAAGAAGGCTGCCGAAGTAGATGCACCGGCTAAACGCAGAGCAGACGACGGAGATGATGGCAGCCCTAGTGCAAAGAAGGCAAAACTGGAAGAGGATGCACAATCATGAGGATTTGTCGCCATATTGTGATTCATGTCAACTACTGCGTTGGTCATCTTTGTTAGAATGGTACACTGGTTGTTGCAATTGCTGTATGCTTGAAGTTCTTCTTCCCCTCTCCTACCCCAAATTCTCCTACGATGTGACCCCTCTCCGCTTTGCTCCTCATTATATATTTGTAGATGACCAGTCCCTCGAGGCCCACTGGCCCACGAGCATGTATCCGTCCTGTGCTGATTCCAACTTCAGTTCCGAAGCCATAGCGGAAACCGTCTGCGAAACGCGTGCTAGCATTGACAAAGGTCCCCGCGGAGTCCACGCCTCTGCAGAATGCAGACGCTGCATGTTCGCACTCGGTTATGATAGAATCCGTGTGATGGGAGGAATGAGAGTTGATGAATTGAATTGCGGAATGAAGGGAGGGCAGAGCTATGACGGATATCGTAAGATCAAGATGCTCGATAGAATAGGACGATTCTGTGGACGAGTGGACGTGACTTGAGAACCTTTCCGGGACGTTGGGAAGTGAGGCGAGTGCTGATAAGGTATGTGAATCACATAAGAGATGAACGTCTGCTGCCAAGAGTGCTTGCGCAACCTCTCGCCACACCGTATTCAGAAGAGAGGTGTGCACAATAAGAGTTTCTGCGGCATTGCAAGCAGATGGATAATCCGTCTAGCATGTGTTATCGTGAGAATATGATCGTTGTCTGAACAATAGAGAGGCTCACCTTTGAGTCAACAACCACGCGGACGGCTTTTTGACGGTCAGCGGATTCATCGAGATAGACATGGCACAGTCCATCTGCGTGTCCCATGACTGGTATCCGTGTGCTGTTCTGAATCGCTTTCACAAGACTGTTGCCTCCGCGGGGAATGACCAAGTCAATGTAGCGGTCAAGATCCAGCAGTGCAGAAACTTCTGCCCTCGTTTGGATTGCTTGGACATACGTGCTCGGAAGCGAGGTCTGGGCCAATCCCTGCGAAATGGCCTTGGCAAGCAGATGTGTTGTGTGATTTGATTCCTTTCCGCCTTTGAGGATCGCAGCGTTTCCTGAAAATAGCCGGTTTGCATGCAGGCATATGACAAGCTGGAGATAACAGGCCTACCTGACTTGATCGCCAGAGCTGCAATATTTACCACAACCTCAGGGCGTGCTTCAAAAATCACGAGAAGAACGCCTATCGGACATGAGACACGATACAGTTCGAGATCGTCGTCTAGCTGTGAAGCATAAGAGACGACTCCAGTTGGATCGGGAAGGTCTGCCACATCTTGTACGCCCTTTAGCATGGAATCCCATTTATCGCCCTTTCCGAGATCGAGACGCTTAATCATGGCGTTCGATATCCTGCCTGCATCAACCTCGACTTGTGCCGCCTTGGTATGCGAGCAGAGAATGTGTGAGGGTTATTATCGATCTTTCAAGTTAGCCGAGAAACGATGCTGCACCTCCATATCCTGCTTGTTTGCTGCGAGTATTTCAGCCTTGTTAGCCTCCAGCTGCTGTTTGATTTTGGCGAGGGCATCTATTCGGACAGCAGCAGGAAGCAACTGAGAGTCTTCGAATGCAACTTTTGCAGCTTTTGCGATTTCTTCCGCGGCGATATCGGATCCCATACTAGTCGATAGTGTTATAGATGAGGAACGACAGTTGTTTTCTTTCATCAATGATTATAGAAAACTAGTAGTACAATTACTTTGTCAGTTTTGTTTGTGTTGCTATTTGCCTCGAGCTCTAGTACGGTAGAGGCAGCAAGGACTCGGAGTCCAATCAAGATCATGACATCTCGTAGAGCGATCATTGTGCAAGGAGTCATCCTGACCACCCATCGTCCATGGGTACTTGAGTAACCAAGACACGAGCGGTCACACGTCCCCTTGACTTTGCTTGCGGTCCCGTAATTCTTTCCTTGAAGATTCTTTATATAGATCAGGCTACTCACATAATATTTTTTCAGGGCACTTTGTCAGCGCTTTGATGACTTCTGATCATGCACGCAGTCTGGTGCAGTCTATTAGTGCGGAACCTTCCTTACTGCGCATGCACGAATGTGGTAGCGGCTTAATATTGTCAGCCCTTCTCCCGTACGGTAACGATGTATCGGTGGTGTCAATAATAGCCAAATCCGATAAGCCTCGAGCTCTAGCTATTGTCCGAGTAGCAAATGAAGCCGTTACATTCCCGCTCACAATAGTGTGAGATGATCTTAAACTGTATCCATGTTTCGGCAAGCCAACCGTTGGTGCCTCAAGTCAACCTGGTCGTTCATATAAAAGAACGCGGCTTACTGCTACATCCTGTCACCCTCGTAAATTATCAGCTTCTTGCTGCTTTCGTTTTCTTCGTCATGGTGTCCCGGTCGCAGGCCTTTGTCTTCGTCACTGTCGCCTCATTCATTCTACTCGCAAAGGCACAACAGACCTCTGGCACTCCCCCAAGCAGCTGGCCTCAAATATACCCTGGAATGCCGAATGGTAGCTACAACACGGAGTGGCAGGACTGTATGTCAAGCCTTGTTCGCGTCCGTAATAGGAAAGCTCACCACACAACTAGACTTCCAGGTGACCGAGAATCTGCCAAATGTTACATGGTCTCTCGCTCGTAATTGGGCAGGGAACATTCCTGTTCAGAGAGAGGGTCATCCAAATGACACCTTGTTCTTCTGGGCATTTGAGAGCGAGGAAGGTTCTTTCACTTCTACTTCGACTGACGCACCCTGGGGTATTTGGCTAAATGGGGGGTAGGTGATACGTTATCTACCTGTCCATTGTCGGTACTCAGACCATTGCAGACCCGGCTCGTCAAGTCTCGTTGGCCTATTGTTCGAGGTCTGTCTCCTGTTACTTTCCTCGCTGCAGACTCTGGATTTGACAATGAGCGAAAGAATGGCCCGATCCAAGTACAAAACGACTATTCGCTACTTGAAAACCAGTATGCATGGAGCACAGTAGCAGACTACGTCTGGATAGACCAGCCAGTGTAAGTGTTGTGTTTTGTGTTGATGTCCATTCTTTAATAGAAATCATCGTCAGCGGCGTTGGTTTTGGAACTGCTGATTCCACTGGTTATAGTACGTTTACATCCTACGAGACTTGCCTCAGCTTACACACCTTTTCAGTTTTTGACGAGGATCAAATGGCATCGGACTTCGTCAGTATACATAATACATACCATACTCGCACCTCACTTTCACTGACTGCGCACAGTTTGGATTCTTGGATAATCTTGTCAAGGTCTTCCCTGGCTTGGCCAAGCGCCCATTGCATCTGACCGGTGAAAGCTATGCCGGCATGTATATAGCGAGTGCATTGTCTTGCTGCATGCGCAGAACTAACATTATTCGGAACAGCCTTACATCACGAAAGCTTACTTCGAGATGGAGAATCCGCCAATTACATTGGCCAAGATAGCTATGGGAGATGGCTCTATTGCTTCTGGAGAGACATTTGAACTCCTCCCGGTGGTGAGCCTTCTACTCACAAGACGACCTACTTCGCGGTGTTCACATTCTAAAGCTTAGTGTCCTTGAGACATACCCGCAGGTGATCGGGTATGACACCGATGTCTTTGAGTACTTCCGTGAACAGTTCGTACTCATACCCGAATTATACTCCTGTGATTTCGTTAATCTCTCACCAGAGAAGCGCTTTGCGGCTATGATCTTACCCTTGAATATCCCCAAAACGGACACTTGCCAACTTTGACTTACATTCCTGGAGAAAACCCTGATTCATCTGATATGTCGGCATCGGGGCGATACAAAGCCCGACAAGGTCGATTCTCCAAGAAGCTATTTCTGGCCGAAATGGAACAGAGGTACAATGCACGTCTAGCAAAGCGGAGCACTAGTTTGTCCAAACATGAGCGCCTGCGTGCGCGGGATGCTTGGCAACGTGATCTAGCTGGCCGTGCAAATGGCACCATCGACGCATGGTACGGGTGCGATGTTTACGATGAGATGCTGGATTATGCCATCAACTTCACCTTCCCGTGGTGTATGTTCGTTGCTTTTATTATTTGACCATCGCTTATGGAGAGGATAGCACTCAGTAAGGACTCTGGAGGGATGTTCGACGTGAGTAATATTTTTGCTTTCGCTGCTGTGCTCATTGCAGGTCGTAGGTATATAACATTCCAGATGCGCTAAACCCTGAGGCACCTATGGATGGGTCAGTTTTTTTGAACGACCCACAAACTCGTGCTGCCATCCATGCACCGACAAGCATGAATTGGACAGAGTCCATCTACTACCCATTCGGCAACAGTTAGTCAACGAGTGTATTTAAGGGCTCCTTTGACTAATGATTCTGACTTAGACTATTCTAATTATGATCCGAGTAAGCTTGTGTTTGTCCTCTCGCATAGAAATTCTTTCTGACTGAGCTCTTTTTAGGTGTCGAGTCAGTGAATCCTTGTATACCTTATCGGGTTCGGTGCTTACTGCGTAACACAGACCTATGGCATTCCTTACGGACTTGGCCACGAATGCCACAGCCCGCAACGTCTCTGTTGTCATATTCTCCGGAAATGATGACTCACTCATTCCTCACCTTGGTTCACAAAGTGAGTAGCCACTATCTGTCGCGTCAAAGTGTTAATCCCTTCCTCAGTTACTATTCAAGTATGTTGGACGATAAACTGAAGGGATGTCAGCTCATTGTGCATAGAACACCACCTTTGGCGGGATTCAAGGCTTTACGCGCAAACCGTCGACACCATGGTATGACGATAATGGCGAATTCGCCGGTATTGTGCATCAGGAACGTAACTGGACTTATGTTCTTGTTGACCACGCAGGCCACCTCGTTGGTTACACAAATCCCGAATCAGTACGTCGTGTCCTTCGTCTATAGTCCATAAATTCAGACTGCAGAAACTCCCCAGGCTCTCGTCTTCATCAGGGAGTTTGTCTTTGGAAGTAACCAGACTGGGCTAGTCACCGACACTTCCTCGGGATCTGTGACTGTCATAGGTGGCGAGGTCTCTTCCCTGGCAAATGAGATTATGACAGGACAGGCTGCCATCTACTATGGCTCAGCGACTACCGAATCCACATATTACTTCCCAACCGCCACAGTGGAGGCATGGAATGCCTATATTGCAACCGCTACTACCACGCCTATGTGATGATTGCGTCGGCGAGGCAACTGGGAAGCGCTGCATTGGCGCAGATAGGTAGAACATGGCACTGGGGAGTGTCATCGTGGTGATAGTGCTATTGCATTATAAGGACTAATTAACATTAATTATTGAACGGACATAGGGCATGTTTACATGTACTTGTGTAGTTCTTACAAGGCATATTTTCAACACCAATTTGTGGCACAGCACGAAGTTAGGAGCAGCTGCTAGCTTAAATCGTGAAAGGTCTACAATTTTCGACTCAAGTTCCTTGAGTTCGAACTGTTCTTAAACCACAATCTATTCTGTTCTGCACCATTTCATCCGGCCCTGTTCTCATTCTCGCCATAACTCAACTACTACTCGTTCGCTTCGAAAGACTTCGAAGGACTGCGCCCACATCCATCGTTCACAGTAACGAGACGAACATACAACTATTAAAACATGTACCTACAGCGCACTGAATCTGCCCCCGCGAAAGCGATGGAGTGTAGAACAGGTTATATAGCACATAAATCAAAATATTTCAGCCATAATCCCTCCATCACCACCTTCCGCACCCATCTCTATCCCCCCAACATCAACTTCGCCATCTGCATCTACCTCACCCTCAGCGTCGCGCGAAAAGAGGTACAGTGGATCTACGACCTCCGAGAGCGCTTCATTGCGCTCGTCGATTTCCTCGCCTGCTCATGGGCACGTGCGAAATGTGCACGACTTGCCACTTGTCTGCATAAGTATCGCTTTGCTGCCGCACAATTATTAGTTATGGGGCGCGGACGCAAGGGTGCGTAGAGTTTCGAGGGATACATACATTCATTCGCTTCTTCTTGAGTGTCATCTTGCGCTCGATGTTTTTGTAGTATGCGCCTGGCCCGCGCTCGCCCGTGTCTCCGTTGTCAAGGACGAGTAAAAACTCGTTGGGTACTTCCTGCTCGATCTTGACGGTCTCGTAGTCGCGTATGAAGTGGAATGCCGTTGACTTGTTCTCCTCGCCCCCTCTAGGTGCTAATCGTTCCTCTTTGAATTCCAGGGCGTCGGCGTCCTCCTTTGTCAAGAAATATGCGAGGAAATGATCCCCGTCGCTCTCCATCGGGCGAAGGATCGCGCAATCAAGCCGTGGGTCTTCCGTGTCTCCGGGTCGTTCACCGGGACGCTCACTGAAGCGGAATAAGTCGTATGCATTGGCCCAGATGTCTGCATCTGGGAGCACATCGTAGGACTCGACAGCGGTAACACCGGTCTTGTTGGGATGAGAGAGTGTGGTCAGGTCGAGGGATGTACAAGCGGCGAAGCCGGCTTCGATGGTATGAAGTTGCGCCTCATGCGAGACATCGATAGGTTGGAGAACTTGTTTCCTGTAGATAATGAATTAGATAGTATATAGTAAAAGGGGCGACGCACGATTCGTGTGTTGAAGTGCGTTGTACACCTTCGCGGCTGAGATATTCCGTCTTTCGGAGCCACGGAACGTGGGCAGGGACAGGTGTAACCGTCCCTGATGTTGTTGGACCGTTGGTGTAGGGTGCGGCAGACGCTGAAGGGTCGCTAAGAAGGAAGCGATCCTTTGGGTCGAGGGAAGGCAAGTTGTCCGGGTCAGGATTTAACGCTGTAGGGCATTAGCTACTAAGAACGACCTTTATGGGAGCACCGCGTACTAGTGTCATCGCCATCCTCCTCCCATAGACACTCCCAGCGTCCAAGATCGAGAGGCATGCCACATTCGGCGTCAATAATCATCGGAAGAGGTGTGTCGTTTGTGATTGCATTGATGAACGCTGGTTGGGCATAGCGTAACGGATTCGTGGGGATGTCGAGTAGTTTTGGAGGACATGGAGGCGCGGGGAGTGGATTCGAATAACGGACACGAACGAGTAAGTCGAGCTTGCTGGGGAAAATCAACCAGGGATTCCAAGCAAGAAAATATATACATACCTCTTTCTGAGACTCATATTATCCCCGATTCTATTACGAAGTATCGAGGCCGCCGCACCTATATGTCGAATAACAGACCGAGAATTTATTTCCGTTCCAAATACTTATTGGCACGCGCATCATGACAATGCTGCCGACCGCTGCGGCAACTACCGCGACCAGCTAGGTTATGTAGACTACTAGTCCAACACCCGTTGTGCCTTCGGCACAGGAAGCAAAAGGAGCGCTTCGCGCTCCTTTTTAGCTTCCTGGCCTTGGCTTCATCCTAATACTCACTGTGCCTTCGGCACAGGAAGGCAAAGGAGTGTGAAGCACTCCTTTGGGAGGTGCCTGTGGCACCTTGACTTACTAATAATTATAGTGGATTTTGAAAAGAATTACAATTTTGAGCAGTATTCAATTGACAAAACTAAAATTACATGCTATATAGTAAAACAATCATCAATAGGATTTGAGGCCTCTGAACAGTTTATACACTACATTGGTCATGTTTGAGTCCACTGCAAGCTGAACAGGGAATTGGTGAGCTTCATCAACTCCATTCCTAAGGCTTCCTGGCTGCATCCTAATATTCATAGACCACATTAAAGTAGACAATATGATATAAATGAATTTATGAATTTTACTATTTAACTATTTTCCCTGACCCCCGTCTCCCGTCTCCCGTCTCCCGTCTCCCGTCTCCCGTCTCCCGTCTCCCGTCTCCCGTCTCCCGTCTCCCGTCTCCCGTCTCCTGCCCATACTCTTCTGTCCCCCCATCTCTGCATCCTAATGATCATAGCAGATTTTTGAAACAAATAACATGATTTTTAAAATGACAAAATTCAGATTCTTTGATAGTCCAAATATCAATCTAAGATAAACCTATCAAAGAGTTTTCCTGAGGGTGGGGGAGGACGCTTCCAGCCTGCTGGCAACTTCCAACCTGGTGTTGGTGCCTGATGGAGTAGCTTGTCATAGGCATCAACCTGGGCCTGACAACTTGACCATGCCTTTTTATTGCGCCACCACTCCTTCCAGTCCCTGATGAGTTGCTTTTGTTTTGCCCTATCAGCCGTCTTCTGCAACTTCTTCTCCTCCTTACTCATCCAGTGCTCATGCTCCTCTTTGCTCCTCTCCATTTCTTTTTTGATCCTTGCAGTGTCCTTGGAGAGATCATGCATCCTCTGCTCATGTGCATGAGTGCACTCTCGACAGGCTGTCTTACTATAAGGATCATTGAGCTTGCAACACTTGAGCCAAGCATGAAACTGGTTGTGGTAGTTGTGGTGCATTCAGGCCTCCCAGTCAACAGAGTAAGAAGGCAAGGAAGGTGGCAGGGCAGCATAGCCATGCTGAAGGGGAGGAAACAGGGCCTGGGTGCAAGGGGAACTACAGAAGGATTTTTTTAAATATTTGTCTCATTAGTACATGACATCATGACTCACCCATTGTCTGATGAAGCAGAAAACTGCACCACAGACTGTGCAGGCAGTGGTGGGCAGCCTGGAGCCTGTTGAGAGCTGCAGAGAGGTGGCTGTCAACACATTCAAGTCAGCTTAGCCATGGGAACTCACGTGCAGTCCCACAATACGAAATTCTGGCCAATGGAAGACATGCATGCAGTCAAATCAAATTGGGACGTCGAACAGCGCATGCTTGGAGTTGGAGCGGAGGACGTTGGTGCTTGAAAAAACCACACGAGACTTCCAAACAATGTCGGAAATTTCCTAGAAGCATTGCAATGATGTGACATTGCAATTGTCATTGAGATGTCGGTCCCACGATATCACGTGGTGTTCCAATCCATTAGAATAATCAATAATCATTATAATATCTTTGTTGATATTGACATATCATTCCCACGATTGCGTGTGCCATTTGAATGCATTGGAATGCGCCGATATCTCATCGATCTCATCGATAACGTTGCTGTCTGTTGCTGTCCATATTGCTATCATATTCTTGTATCTACACTTACTTTTGAGTCCTGTACACTTTCATGCCACCCTGAATGGACCTCGGTTTGCAATACATGCGGCCAGAAATTCAAGAGTCATGGACTTGCAGCTCATCAAAAAGCCTGCAGGAGGGACACTATATGGATGCAGGAAGATCACGAGAGACAGAATGCTCGAACAGGTGAGTCTTATATAATTTGTTCACATCGAGTATAACTCCTCTTGACAGCTGCTCGAGCCCACCTCGAGCTGCTGAACCCTCAATGCTGTCCAGTCCTGGATCAATCACAAGTTTCACAACAGCCAGGCACGTCACAAGGTTTGATTCATTATTTAATGGATTCGTGTTTTATTTAACAATTTCTAGGCTCTCGTGCAGGTCCTGCTGCTTGCAAACCTACTTTTGACAACACGGAGTATGTACATCCTGATGAACTTGAAGGTATGTTCCTATTTTTATTGTTAATAAATCAGTCAGTCATCATATTATTATGTAGGTTTATCATACAATCTTCCTCCTGCACTCCAGCAGGACAATATCAAGACGGAATATCATCCACGTAGTGGAATCCCTATGAAAACTGATCACTTTGCCGATTTTTGCTGCCACACTGCTGCTCCCTCGCTCGTACGCGAAAATACTACTCCCTGGGAACCGTTTACCTCTCGTATCGACTTCGACTTCACTGAATTAGTTCTGAAAGCCAACCCCACAAAACTGCAGACAAATGAACTCATCAGTCTCATCCGTCGCAGTGCTCTCAAAAGATTCTCAGTCACTGATTATGACGGCATCTGTAAGCTGTGGGACACAGCATCTTCTCGCCACGCAAAAGTGAGTCTTTGCTGAGTACTGACTTGTTATACCTCATTGACAATCAAATTTCAAGCACAGTTCAAAAAGGAAGTGATTTCGGTCCCTCATAGGGATCAGGAGCATGATTTTGATGTTTGGTATAGGCCGCTCTGGGATTGGGCCTGTGACTTGTTGAAAGACCCTCGCCTTGGTCCACACTTCGTGTTTGATGCTCAATGGTTGTACAAATTTGATGGACGAGACTTTGTACGTTTCTTTGATGAGCCATGGACAGCTGATGCCTTCTGGAATAGTCAAGTATGTATGTGCTACTAAATTTGAATGTTCTAACAATGTAAATGCATGTTTTGTAGTCATCCTTACCAAAGGATGAAGGAAAACCCTTCGCTTTTATTATATACGCTGACAAGGCAAAACTGTCCTCGTTTGGTCGTCAAAAGGCCTATCCCGTCATTGTGCGATGTGCAAATTTGCCTGTTGGAATATGCAATGGTGAAGGTTTCAGGTGGTGGTCGCCTTGTAGGCTGGCTTCCAATCGTATGAGAATCTATTCAATTTATCATCAGCTTCTATGTTTATGGATTACTCTTGCAGGTCGAAGAAGATAGACAGTATTCTGGAACTCAGTCGTTCGTCAATTTCAAGAATGTCGTGTGGCACAAATCGTTTAAGTGCCTTCTCAAATCCCTCGCACCGCTATCGAAAACAGGTTTTTGGGTCAAGTGTTGGGATGGTATCGAGCGTCTTTTTTATCTGCTTATTCTCATTTTATCAGCTGACTATGAGGAACAGTATGTGTATTGCCTTTATCATTATAGCTTTCTAATGGCTATTCTACAGATGTGTCATGTCATTGATACATGGAACAAAGTGCAAATTCCCTTGTCCCAGTCTGTCTCATTCCTAGAGAGGAACTTGGGAACGTGCTTACATCATATCCATTGTGAATGAGCGCATCTACGCAAGCTACACTCAGAGAGGCTCGAAATTTCGTTCGACAAGAAGACAAAGAGAAGGTATTGATGTCTCGAGGCCTCCAAGACGTAGATGTAAGTTCCTTATTGCTGTATCTTCATTCCCTACTCTAATTTATTCATTTTAGAACACATTTTCGAATGTTGCTCACACGGATGTCCATTTCGCAGTCTCATTTGACCGCTTACATGTAAATAACGAAGGTAATTTTTCTGACCATCTTTGGACTCAGTTTCAGGAACGTGTTAAGTCAATCGGTCGGCAGACACAGTCTCAAATCGATGTACAGTATGTTTTCAACTTTGGGTATAGTATTAAATATTGACTTAACAGCTTTGACTCAATGCCCCATTGGCGCAACATCAATCATTTTAATCATGTCATGGACATATCATTTTCTGATGGCTCGAAGTACAAAGATATTTCTAAAATAAGGCATTTGATCAACTCTAACATGTACTACTGATTCTGATGATTCTGTAGCTTATCGTACTTGCTGCACATGACGTCATTGACCGAGCCACTCACGCGCTCCCTTATCTGCTCCTTCAATGGATCTGTGAATACGTCAACATCGACATGTATGCCGCTCTTGAAGTGCACACATCGGAAACTATTGCTGCAGGCCGTCAGGCCATAAAGGAGTTCACACAAGTTGTTAAGACCGTAGCTCAAGGGTAGACGGATCCGAAGGGCTTGGCCTCAGCTTGTGCGCTGTGCCCCTTACCCGAGTACGTGCCCTTAATTTCAGAATAAAGTCCAGATGGAATCCGATGAAGTCCGAAGGACTTCCGGAGGCTGGCTACTCTAGTAGAGTGCTAGAGGACTTCTGGATGAGTGTGAGAAACTTCCGGAGGAGTTTCATCCGCTGTATCAGATCCGAAGGTAAGACTTCCCAAGGTAAGTTCCCTAGATAGAAACACATAGAGGATAGGCTGCAAGGGACAGAGTCCAAAGCAGGATAGGATAGGAGGAGTGGTCCGAAGGACAGGACATCCGGAGGTCTGAAGGTTAAGATGTCCAAAGGTTGCGTCGTCCGAAGGTTGCATCGTCTGAAGGTTACGACGTCCGAAGGTTACGACGTCCGAAGGTCCGAAGGTTTACGAGGACCGGAGGAGTGGACAGGATTAGGACAGGAGGGGAAAGGCTACTATGGACAAGGTCCAGAGTAGAAACAAACAGAGGTAGACTACACTATGGTAGAGTTGGATAGACGGGGTTTAGACAGAAGTCTCGGAAAGACAGGAAGTGCCGGAAAGGCAAAACTTTGGTCTAGGGAATCAATCCCTAGACTTCAGAACAGAGACATAGGGGACAAATCCGAAGGTCTGGATTTCCGGCCTAGGGAATCCATCCCTAGGCCTTGATGGAAAGGCAGAACTCAGATGGACCAAAGTCCAAGACAAGAATGAGTGAAGTCTAAGAAGCGAGGGAGCAAGTCTATGTTGAGACAGAGCAAAGTCTAAGGCGATATTCGAACTAAGGAAACTTTACAGGAGTTGTACAGAGGTTTATATACTGGAAGGGATCCGAGAGGATCGGTAAGCTGAATACAAATGCTATGTACGAGCATGTGGAAACATATTAGTAAGTATGAACGGAACATAAGTAAATGAACTTGGAGATGAACAGAGTACAAGGATCAATAAGCAAGACGGAAACACAGATAACCGAAGTCCGGAGTCAAGGGGATTACCATAAGGAGATAGACGCTGATTTAAGGTTTGGGCCTCGGATATGAGTATAGGTCGGATCCGGAGGTCTAGAGATATCGGATGAAGCGTCTGGATATCGGATGAGCGGATCCGGAGATCTAGGTGAAGACAAGACTAGGATATGGATCGTGGATATAGACCAGTAGTCTAGGGAAGGTAGAGTCCGAGATGGAATGAGCTCGGATCCGATAGGACTAAGGGTGGATGAAGCAGGCTTAGCTGTGGAGGTCCAAAGGTATGGACATATGGATGTGCGAAGGTGTACGGATCCAAACCGATAGTGGACTGGAGGACTGAAGGCATGGATAAGGGTATGGAGTCATGGATAAGGGTATGGAGGTCCGGATGTGCATCCGGAAGGTGTGGGAACATCATCGGACGTAGGTCCGGAATACGGGATATGACACAAGTATTGGATGTAAGTTTCTTGTTCAAGTTGTGCATTAAAGTTTTACTGACATTATCTAAACTATATAGCAATATAGCGCAAAGGATGACTCAGGAAAGAATTGGGCGTACCCAAAACGGCACGCACATGCCCACCTGTTTGACGATATCGAAGCGAAGGGTGCTACACGTAACACCAACACCAAACCAAATGAGAAGTGCCATGGCCCAATCCGATGGATTTTCCTTCGGCGGACGAACTTCAAAAACATTGCTGAACAAGTGTGTACTCTCATTTGTTCATGAAACTGGACAATATTTCATCGATCTTACACAGGTACTTCGCCTTGACCATCGCTTCCTCATTGCACATTCGATTCATTTGGACATCGAGGACTATGATGACCTCATTACATCTCAAAATGACCCTTTGCACTTGGACAGCAAGGACGACGAATGCCCCAACAATGATTCTGACGCCACATTGCATATTAAGTTGGGTGCTGCGCAAAAAGAGCAGACATTTGCGACCTTAGAGCAACTGCATGCAAATGACAATGCATTCAATCGGTTTCACATCAAGCTTGCAAACTTTCTGAGTGATTCCCTCCTTGCTCACAGAATACCGTTACCTGGTGGAAAATGAATCAAGTTCATGCCTGATGAAACTGTATGTTATTCTGTTATCTTCCAATTCACATCTAAACTATAGAATGCAGGTGATCGAGCATCGCTTCATAAAGGTCAACTATGAGTCCATCGTGGACTGGCGAACCACTGTAGACTATCTTCGATGCAATCCTTTATTTCACAACTTCCCTCGATATGACTGCGTCATCCTTCAAACTCAAGCTGGAGTAATATTTGGGCGTTTACTGATGCTTTTCACCTGTGTCGTGGATTGTCAAACTCATCCAGTTGCTCTCGTTCACCCATACTGATGCTCCAGTTGGACAATGCTCTCTCAAAGATAAACACTTTCAGTTCTGGCGTGTTCACAAAAGACCAAGGATCTCATCCAAATTTTTTCAGTTCACTCGATCATCCGTGGTGCAGCACTAGCAGAAGATCATAGCGTTCAGGGTGATTATCTGGTTATCAACACAATTGATACTGACATGTTCTTGCACATGAAATTGATGCACAAGTCTGCCAGTCATCTAGAATGAAGAACTAGCCTTGTCTTGTCTCCCTCCTGGTGCCTGGCGCAAAGAACCAGCATCTCACCTTTTGCTCGTTCGACCCTCAATCCTTATCTCTCATTTGTTCTTCGCAATCAGGTGCAGAAGGCCTCACCTTTTGCTCACTCAACTCTCAATCCTTATCTCTCATTTGTTCTTCGCAATCTGGCGTGGAAGGCCTCACCTTTGCTCGCTCAACTCTCAATCCTTATCCACTCCTCATCCTCATCTCATGAGGCAGATACTTCTGCCGAAACATCTATGGATATCGAGCCAGAGAAGGAGCGCTGGTGAAGTATCGCAAAAGAATGGTATGCTCAAGGCCTTGCGGATACCCCTGGTGCAGGCAAGTTGCACCATCATCTCGGTTTGTTAAGTCGTGAGGTTGACAATGAGGAACTACGCGCCATGTATCATTTTGTGAAGAGGTTTGTTTTCCCGTCAATTTTCTCTGTCTTTCCTGATCAGTTGTTCTCCATAGTATGACCACCCTCCACACGTTCTCAAGCTCTCGGGAGTCCATTCTTCCCATCTGGTCATCAACTGCGCAATCACAGCGATTGCAAGCTGATGCCTGCACACCTGAACTCTTCGTTCTTTTACATGGAATGCTGTTCACTAACATCCAACTTGACGACTTCTCACCAACCCTCGCTCGCTTCCTTGAATGCATCGAAATCAAGGGAGCTGAGGAACACAAGTGGATCATGATGGCTGTCGTGAATATTGGTGCCATGTTTGAATATGGTTGTCCAAGCGGTGTGTTGCGTAAGGTTGGTGGCATAGGTGCTCGTGACATTGGCGCAGGCGGTCCAGCTGTAAAAGTTGCCAAGAAGTATCAAGCTATGCCTGCATTTCACAACGAAGACGGTGAAGAGAAACGAATGGACATGGATGCCGAAGGCGCCCCACAAACATCTCCAGTTCCATCAGACACAAATATGCCTGCAGAGCTGCCGGTGTCATTCAAGCTAGCATTGGAACTTGCATTTTCAATGCTCTCATTCATTCTTCCAGCTCCATGCTCATCACTCCATGTGAAACCGGAGAGCGACTTGATGTCCTTGACGACATTGTAACTCTTCTTTAGCTGTAATAATATGAGGCACTGTAGTAGATAGATAGATAATGATAAAACTCACGTTGTTCCACTTGGTTTTGCAAGATGACTGGGATTTGGCAGCGCCCCTGTAGGTGGGATATAACATGTTGAGGTGCTTGGAAGCATCAGAGTATACTGAGTTTTTGAAAGTTGTGTTATCCCCAGCCTCAGCCCCTGCGAGTCGCAAGAAAGGCGATGAGTTCACTTTCTTCGTCCAGCTCCCAATGTGTGGCGAGCTTGCGAGATGCAGTGTTGTCTTGCGAGCCCATCAGTTCATCCACCATGGTCGATCCACAGGAACGAAGTGAACGAACAGAGCCCACACTCGACGAATCAGACATGGTAGGTATAAAGTTATGGATAGATCTAAGACAATGTCTTGTAGTACGACTCATCACTTATCAGAGTTACCTCTATGTCTGCTTTGACCCGGCGCTTCCCGGATGAGCTGGCAACTCTCACGGGTGAGTCACATGATATGAATATCGAATTCTGAATTTTGTATTTCGCCTGTCCAAACAGGACCTAAGTTATCGTTTTGATTTTATTTTGTCCAATACGGTCCCTCATAGGCGCCACATTGCCACCGGCACCTGTCGGCATTTCAAAACGGGGCTTACATTGCATTCCCATTGCCACGGATGTGTTGTCATTGCGGCATTAGAATGCATTACAACGCATTAAAATGAAATTCAGAAATTTCCGACAAAAGGATCCCATGTGGCAAAACGTGGCTTTCACGCGAGCACGCCGCACCCTCCCACGCCCTTCTCCATTACTTTATAGATTTATAGATTTATAGATGTTGTCCCAGCTGTCACCCTCGTCATTGTAATTAACCACCTCAACCTCATCTAGAACAGTCTGGTATTATTCCTCGTTTGACCTCATACAACTCGTCAAAATCAAAAGCATTTCCCTCGAGCACTTCAACTTTGTTAATCCTCTGAACTTCTTCAGTCCTTTTCAACTCTTCGAGAGCTGCAAATTCAGTGGCAACGTCATCAGGCGAGATACGCTCTGGACCAGTAAGAAGGACAAACTTTTTCTTTCTGCCAGGCCATGGATTTAGGGAAGGAGTGGTCGTGCACACTGGTCACCCTTACTTGCTTCGCATGCACGGCTTTCCTGATACTGCGAACACTCTTGAAACGCGAAGGGCTGACTTGGTTGCCTATGCCGGTACGCGCTTCTCCTAAGGCTATCATGTCATGAGTCTCAGTCTAAGACAGCATAACGCGTCTGTGCTATGGGGTCACGAGAAGACAGTATTCAGCATGTCAGCAGGGATGGCGTACGCTCAGTGGCTGAAGGACCTGAATACGAATGTTCTTAAGATTCGAGGGGCGCTTGGTAACCGAGACCTCGTGAGTCTACACAAGCATTTATTGATCAAATGGAATCGAGTCATCAGCCCAGCTTGTTCTCGCGGACCCCTTTGCAGTGACGCATATCATGCAACGGAGAATCTATGATTATCGTATGTGTTACTTCACACCTAATTCATGTCGAACGACGTTGACCTGTCACAACAGCGCACAGCAATGTTGTACGGCCACGCATCGCTCGACTACTTGGAAAGTCCCTTGCCTGGGTAGAGGGCGAACAAGAACACAAGCGAATGCGACAGCTTGTCGCTACATCTCTTGCACCTGAAGCGATACGGAGAGGAGCATACAACGTGCACGCTGCAGCTGATACAGTGAGCTGCAATATGCATGTTACTTCTGATAAATTGTGACGTCACCCTCCTAAGCTGCAAGAGCGTCTGCAATCCCATCTCGCCAACAAAAGTGGATCAATGACTATCAACGTTATTGACTGGACGAATCAAGCAACGTAAGAGCTTCTCCTGCATGCAAGCATAACTTAGTGTTTCTTTGTTAATTAAGATTGGATGTGATTGGGCGTTTCGCTTTCGCACATGACTTTGGCGGCGGAATAGATCAGGACGCAAGAAAAATTCTTAGTGTTTGGAGGAACATGGCTAAAGCTGCCATCTCACGCAAGGGACTATTTGTTGAGAGCCTTTTCCCTGCGTTCCGGGTTGCTCCTGATAATTCAAAGGTTTTAATGATCCTACGCCGATTTCCATTCCTCAATCACCTGCCCTTGGAAGCGCTCCTGGCTCAAGGCAATGTGCGCCACACAATTCGAGAGGGGATCGCGAAAGAACTCATTCGGAGGAGTCAAAATCTCGCAGTAGACGACACAGATAGTAACAATTTGCTATCTAGGCTTGGTATGTGAAAGATCAATGCCACTCCATCTTTCTTTTGTAGCTGAGACCTGGTAGCATCTGCACATGAGGCTCGATTGATCACTATGGACGAACTCATGGATCACGTAAGTCAAGCGTTCTTATCTGTCGCTTTATCTGACAGGTATGGCTAAACCAGATAACGACGTACATGTATGTAATATTTGCATGTTCTCTCTGTATTCTCATCAATCTGTGCAGCTTCGCTGGCTCGGAGACTAGCTCTCAGACATTAGGTTATGCGCTTTGGGAGTTGGCGAAGGACCCGGAGAGGCAATTCAGACTACGAGATGAGTGCCTGTCATACGCAGAGCCTCACATTTCGTACGATGATAGTCAGACTAAGCTACCCTATCTGGATGCGGTGGTTCGTGAAATGTGAGTTGACCAAGCTTTCCTATATATTGCATATTCAGCGCCACCACGCAGCCTGCGATTGCACCCTGCTCTAGCATACATGGAGCGGGTTTCTGTCAAAGAAGATATCTTACCACTCCGCCATCCCCTTGTAACACCTGATGGCAAACAGCTGCGGAGCATCAAAATATCGGCTGGTCAGGTATGATGTCTTGATCATTGGCATATATGGATAAGTAACCTTGTGACCGTTCGGAAGATTGTTGTCATTCCAATACATACGATAAACCGTATGGACTCGGTATGGGGAGATGGTTCAGCATTTAGACCAGAACGCTGGTTGGAGGAGATGCCTCCGCGCGATATCCTGTCCTCAGGCTGGTCTAACGTGATGTCATTTGGCGACGGACCACGAAATTGTGTGGGATTCCGACTTGGTATGTACTTCGGTTTTTGCGATTGCAACTGATCTCTAACAGACTGCGACCTAGCTCTCTTCCAGATAAAGGTGTTACTGATGACTCTTGTACGGCATTTCGAATTCCAGGACAGTGGGGCCATTATTGTTGATAAGATTGCGTCTAGTATGCAACCGACTGTGCAAGGGCAAGAGGAGCTGGGCCCATACCTTCCGATCACTGTGACGGCTTTGTGAACTAGTTTGATATTTATCTTGTATATCGCCCTGACTATGTTCGTGCTACTCCGACATCAATGACGAATTGTCAGAGGGTTTATCGCCAATAAATCTACCGCAGCACTTCGTTCATGTGTTCCCCGCTGGTCATGCCAGCGGAAGATATCTGCATGTTCAGTGATACAACGGCCCGCTGGCCCATAGAGCGTGGCTTACTCGTTTGGTTATCGTATTCATGCGCTGATTATTTGCAGCGAAGACTTGGTACCGACTGATTATTATAAGTAGGTTACTCTGTCGAGGAGATATTGAAGGAGGCTTGCAACTGCTGTATTTGCATCGCTTTACAAGTGAGAACACTAAGATCTATTATCACTTCTAATTACTGGGATTACGTGGGAGTCACAAGTGGTGCACAGAGTTCCGATTCTTCTAGTACGATCAATTTAACTGTGTACAAAATCTCCAAGCCTCTCCAAGCCATCGCGCGACTGCGTGAAAATAGAAAGCATCCACTAACCATGCGTCAACTCAGCGTACTCGACAAGTTCAGCTATCCCGCCTGCCCGCTTGATACCACTCACGATTCTCCGCGAGCTGTCAGCAACATTATCAGCCGTGCCGGTCATCACCAACGTCTTTGGCCAGCTTTCAATGAATGGGATGAGGGCCCCTGATGCTAGAGGGTTTGTTGGGGAGAAACCACCAAGGTATTGGGAAGCACAAGCTTCGTAGATTGATAGAGGAAAGATGTCGTGGGGTACGGAGGTGGAGGATGTGTAAGTGAGGTCTGCATCCGGGGAGAAGACTACGACATGCCCCGGCATCGGAAGAGTAGACTGGGAGATGATGTAAGTAAGGACAAGAGCTGAATGAGACTATCTGGTAAGATACAAATACAAGAACTCGTTCAGTAATGACCCACCTAAGTTCCCACCCGAACTATCACCTGCTATGGTGATATTCTCGGCGCCAAAGCCGCGCGAGATCAGGTGATGGTATGCGGAGAACAGATCTTGCAACGCCGCTGGAAAGAGGTTCTCGGAGACAGTTGCGAGCCTGTAGGAAGGTGCTGCGATGATGGATGTACTGAATCCTTGTGGGTCGCATTTCTCCGCCAGCACGTGGAGCATGCGAGAAAAGAATTTCATATACCGTTGTTCTGTTGGGTGTCCGGCGACGTTGGCACCTCCATGTACATGAAATATGACTTTGAGATTGTTTTTCGCATCGCCAAAGGATTCAAGAGGCGTGAATGATTTGGAATAAAAGAAGACGGGAACCTCGCCCAGTTGGATTAAGTTCGAGTGAATGGATACAGGAGTTTGAGAGGAAGGTAGAGCTAATTGACAAGAAATGTGAACTCCTTCAGGTATTCCTTCACTCGGTACTCGTGCACGTTCGGAGAGAGATTGGGCCTGTCCGAATGTGAGCTCGAAGGCACTCAGTGCGGTGCGAAGACCGTGAAGAGTTGTTGCTTGCTCAGGGGTCCAGCTTGGTAGAGTCAGTGATGAAGACATTTTCTCTTCTATGTAATCCATCATACATGATGCCTAGGTATTTTATCTAAAAGCATCTGTGGTTTAATATCGAATAAAACAGGCTCAGTACTCAGCTAAGTTGGCAACGGCCTGAGAAGGCGAAAGATCAGCAGCGCCGGGATCAACTTGCCATCACGTATTTTTTACGGCACTGAGAGAATTCCTGTACATTTCGGTGCTCGCGGTGACGTTGCTATATCACATTGCTGTGGACACAGCTCGACCATGATGCATGTGCATGATGCATGATAAGCGCTGGCGGTCGACTGGTCGACCGGTCAAGTTAAGGCCGTAAGGTTACCGTTCAAACTGCTCTCATCAAACATGTTGTTATTTTGCTCTGTCCTTACTTGGTTGGTACTACTTGGTCCATCAGTTCGTCAAGCCGCAGCGCTGCAGCTGTGAACCTCATTAAGCCTTGGTCCTCTCTGGCCCCCTGCCGCTGTGCTCGGGATTCTGATAAAGAGCTTCCGAGTCAGATGATAGTCCGATCATGAGCATCAGTGAACTGAGAGAATTTTGAGAAAGATATAGTATCACCTGCAGCTGATCCGTAATGTTCAATTTCTAAATTGTCATTAATTGTCGTTTGCAAGTCGTAAGGCAGCCAAACTCCGTGACGCTAAGTTAGTAAGCGTCGCTAAACCTGTCCTAAACGGGACTTGTACCTAAACCTTACGGCACGCAGTGCCAACACTTGCAGTCTTAAAACACCTACACAACAAGGTTTAGTTAAGGGTTAGGCGGCCTGCTGAGGGCCAGGAAAGACGAGGTTGGCGCTACGCGCCGTAAGGTTTACAGGTTTAGCGACGCTTAGCGTGAGTTTGGCTGCCTTACGACTTGCAAACCAAACGACAAGAATTGAGCCTATCCCTAGTACCTAATTGATGCGCAAAGCTCTGCAAACCGATAACTCATGGATCGTTCGACTCAAAATCGAGATAGACTCAATGAGGCAAAGCTCAATGGTTCATATTAGCGAACCATGGGCGCCACGTCGGGGCCAATGTCCATCTGAATCAAATTACTAGTACCGGAGAGAACGATCTCATCATTCCCTGCTGTTCAGATCTTGCAACTAGATACCACCCCGCGGAAGTTGAGGCACTAACTTGATCACCTAACAATGACCGTTACCTGATGGAAAGGTTTCTGTCTCGCTTTTATAATGCTGAGCGGCGAGAAAATATGTAGGAAAAGCATGTCCTTCGCAGCGACTACTACATTGCGCATTACGCTACGCCACCTCAAGACTGTTTGGCTTTTCACCAGATCCGACTACAAGACAATACTCTTCCCGGTGGTATTCATTCCAGAAATAACTATTAGTCCGTGACGCTGAATTCCCCGTTGTAGACCATATTCGCACTTGTTTTATCTCCTCGTCGTAACCCGCTAGCCCTATCTCGTGCTCTGTGCTGGGTCTGGTTCCATCTCCTACAAGCCAACGTCTCTAACCAAACGTACTCCGCGCATGAAGATGTGGTGAATAAACCATGGCGTCCTGTGCCGTCTGGGCGCATTAGCGTCAGGGGTTGTCGTGCATTGCGCTGGCGACTGATGGTATTCTGCTTGGGTCTTTCATCTCTTTCCAGCGTCAACGTGCTGATATCTAGTGCGTTGTTAACTGTGGTCGAGATCGTGCATGACGATTTTGGTCTCAGTCACCATCCTGTTTTTAAGAATTTGTGCAATGTAGGGGGCTACGCGACTTTTGAGATCGGTGCTACGTTGGTCCTATGTAGGAAGCTCTCCCTGAGGATCATACTAAGCTAACCAGATCGATAATTTAGCGGGGGAATCCTACCTTGACGGAACGAGCATAACAGCACTTACTTGTAGCGCGCTTGTCATATTCATGACAATTCATGTGCAGGATTTCGCAGACGCAAATGGTGACCGCATGTCAGGACGACGAACTCTGCCGATTGTGGCGCCCGAAGGATCCCGTATATATGTGCTCTGCGTGCTCCCGCTGCTTTCTCTTGGTCTCGCCTCCATTTGGAGTCTGGGACCTCTATGCAGCGTTTTGTTTGTGTCTATAGGCTTTGGGGTTGGACTTCGGTGCTTTCTTTTCCGCGACGAAATTCGTGACCAGTCAACGTACCTGCTGTATAATGTTCGTATTCTCGAGTAATGTTTCTTGTCTATGAACTAAAGGTTTTTCATTCCCTGTAGATGTGGCTCTTGGGTGCTCATCTCTTGCCAGCTAATGCACGATTTCGTGTATTGGCGTGGTAGTACTGTAGTGGTCTTCTGCGAAGAGACCTAGCAATATTAATTATGGTACAACATGTAATACTGTTGTTTTATTTTTTATTTTTTATTATTGTTAACTAGAGAGGCTCGGAGATGTTGTGGTATGAATTACCTTATTTGTACTGTGCCGGGATGTGTTCCTTTCTTATATCACACAACGAAACCCGTAGCGGGAGTTGGCACGAACCTAAGGTTGTAATCGTACAGTACGTCCACTTCTATGTGCGCAGCCAGGTATCCAGGCACGTAAATTCATTTTTTCGGATCTAACAGCAACCTTGCAGTATGGGAACGGGGTGTGAAAATACATTGAAAGGGGGTTGGGTGGCTGATATGTTATGAAAGAATGTCATCGGATGACTCCCTCTCGCGTAAGGAATTCACATACCTAATGAGCGCTGATATGTATGTCAAGTCCGGGCGGATCGGTTCACCCCTCTCATCCAGTGGGATGGTGAGGTCAAAGAGGTACAGGATCATTGCAATCATTATCCAGAGCGACGACTCTGCCAAATGCCTTCCTGGACAAATTCTGGCGGCAGAATTGCAATGGATTCAGTTTCATAAACAACATTGCTCCCAGAAACACAGGGCTGACCTACGACCAAACCCGAAGGCAATTTCACGTGGATCAAGGATATCATCACACAACGTCTCATCATCGCGCAAGAACCGCTTTGGAGAGAACTCAGTGTGATTAGGGTATGTTGCCTCATCGTGTAACATCTGCCTACTGAGGATGAGACACAAATACATGACACGGTATCTGACACTCACCAACTATTTGCGATAAATGTAGTTCCAGCAGGGAACACCATATTTTCATATATGTCTTCTTGAATCAGGCGGTGGGGAGCAGCTGCAGGATGATAAGCGGGAAGACGACCAAGCGAGAAACAAATCACTGCTTACCCAGCGGTGCAACTGGATTCCACCTGCCAGACTTTGATTACAGCGAGTGCGAATAGGGACATGATTGCATTTACCTTAGTGTCTCTCGCAAAATAGCATCGACGTATGGAAATTTAGGTCGATCTTCCAGACTTGGTAGCCGCTGACCACAAAGGACGGCATCGAGAACATGTTGTGCTTCCTTCTGAATATCGGGGTTTAGCATGAGAGCAAGGATTGCAGTATCGATAGTGCTGATGATCTACAAGCAAAACATTGGGATGTCAATCTATACTTTTGTGTCAAAACACTTGCCGTATCAGCCCCCGCTGTTTTAACGGGTAAGTCAGAGTATCTGGCAATGCCTGAATGATTGGCTTACCAACGTAAACACCTGCTAATGCACCTCGAATGGTTTCCTCATGCGCCGTGATGCCCGCAGAGGTGTATGAGTCAATGAGACGATGCGCCATCGATGAATGTAGGCCTCTGCCACAAAGCTGCAAAATACATATCACGGGCTTACGAAAGGCGGAGAAACTCGAAACATACAACTTCGTCTTTCACAGCAGTGTATGGTCGTTCAACTAATTGCTCCGCCAAGTTTCGCATATGCCGCATTTGTCGCGCAAATTTGCCTCCGAAAATGTTCATCGGAAAATGCCGCACTGAAAATTGGCATTATTCGACCACAATATTTGTGCAAGTATGAAGATCCTACACCATGGAAATATATCAACAGGATGCGCCCCAACGTTCGTTAAAACTTCTAGAGATGCGTTAGCGTCTCGCGCCAACTTGACCCATTCGTCATCATTGTCTACAACTGCTTGACGTCATGAGACTAGTAAAAACGAAGAGCTGCGCTGCGTAGATACCTTCGTGACCATAAGTGATCATTAGGATATTTGCACCAGCAAACCTGCGAGCATATCGTCAGTTTGCATTTATACTTGGCGCATCGATAAAATCACAGTCTTGTGTGGTCCTGAAATTTTTCTGGCGAACATAATAGCCTTGAAGCCAGCTTCGCTGCTTGCACATAGATGACATGATGGAATTCTTGAATGCACTTCGGGTTCAGTTGCTGCGCGAACATCTTGCGCTGCAATTTCCATTCCTCGCCATATTGCATCGTTGTGAGCATCCAATTCCATCCACCCCTGCAGTATGTAAGTGTATAATTCCTGAAAAATAGATCAAGGATACCATTCTTGTATCAACGAGAATCCGGGGCGGTCAAGGTATATAGATCCTCGCTTATTGAGGAGATCGAATGCAGTCCGAATGGAGTTGATGACAACGATGGGCTGCCCTAGCACGACAAGGCCAATGAGGTCACCTAAACGGATGTCTTGTTGAGGAGGAGCTAGGAGTTGTATACAAGAAGCTCACCATATTGACCTCTCCACTTCGCATAAGTTACCCATTGCTGGCTCGTAGGGAGATCTGTGAGGTTTCCAAACAATGGAAGTCGACGCGGGCCAGGAGGGAACCGGACAAATATTTGATTACGGCGATATAGGTTGTAGGCCGCAAATAATGCAGTAAGGATGGACACGACAAAGAGTTGGAGGTTTCCAGCCATCGCGCACGGGAGTTTTCAGTCCCTGGAGTGGTTTGCGTAGGCAGTGACCTAGTAAAGATTCAGCGGATGTTAACAGATAGCGGCGCCACCTGTGACTTGGATAAGAGGATTTTCTGATTTGAAACGAGCGGATTCAGCTTGCCATTCTGGGGTACTAAGTTTAGACTTCACTGTAAGTTGGCAGGTTGCGCCGATTCCCAATTGAGAATGTTCGCCCAAAATGGGTGATTCAATTGTTCGTTACACAGCAAAGTTGTTTTCCCGATCAGATCAATCAATCGATCATGATGCGCGAGGTCCGGTGATAGATCGATCATGGTATATCGATATGAAATGTACGGTATATATCTTGCACGCCGGGGACACAGCGCGACGTTGTGCACTAATAAATGATCTTTCTCAGGCTGCTGCATATACTTAGTTGTGATCGGGTTTCATACTATCGTAAACCTTTACTACCACCAAGTTTTTCGCAAGAATGAACGCCAACAACAATCTACCTGCTCCAAAAACTCAGCGAGTCTTTCAAGAAAATACAAATTATAGTCTACCGTAGGAATTGATTCTCCATAACACCCTCCTTATCTGATTGCTTTCAGAACGGATGCAGACGAACATGAAAGGCTTCGACTACAACATAACGCCTTGAAGATTTTTATGGGTGAGACGAAAACAGCGGCGTCTTCCATCATTTCTTTTTCCTTATGTATCATGCACTCTAGATGGGAAGAATTATGTTATACCTACCGAAGATGAAGGTATACCTTTCTATGCTTCAATGAGGTAGCTCCCAATCTCACAGGAATTTCATAGGTAATTTCCAGCACGTCCTGGACTTGTGTTCTGGCAGTGGCCAGTGGGTCATAGATGTAAGCCTTCTGCGCTCTCACAAAAATGCTGAATGTTGTATCCCAGGTCGCAGAATCACTTCCTAATGCTGAGGTGCATGGTGTCGATTTGGCTTTGCCACAAATGTATGTTTTAGCCACCGATCAGTACTTTAGCTATGCTTATGGGGCTTTAGATTCGGGAACTCGGAAATTCCATCGAACGCACAGTTTCACAGAGTCGATTTACTTAGTACGTGCCAAAGGAAGCTTTTTGCGTCTGGTTTTGGAAATGGTATCTGACAGATCAACCTCTCCCATTTGCCGATCGTTATTTCGACATCGTTCAAATGCGCATCGTACCAAGTGTATGTTCTCAAACACTGAGATTGATGATTGTTGCCGACGCATCGCAGATCCCGAACAGAATCGACCTTCTCAAGGAGATCGGTCGAGTACTGCGGCCGGGTAATATCTACCTTATACACATATTCATTAAGATACTTACTTCATTCCAGGAGGATATGTAACGTTCCTCGAACCAGGGCCCTCTTTCTCGGGGACCAAAGGCACTCGCACTGCCGCGTTAATACAAGTGGACCATTTCATCATACGATCTCCTCATACGCCATCTCCGGGCACTGGGGACAATGACAGGATTTGGTCCCTCGCTCCAAATATAGCATCTATGCTTCGAGAGGCTGTAGGCGGTCGGGGAAATGCACTATTCTATGATGTGTCGTCTTCAGAATTTCTCGTTCCCATAGGCGGCTGGCCTGATGGTGAGTAGATATAACGTTATTTGTGCTTGCTTAACCTGCGTGGTTGTAGAGGAAAAACTGAAATCAGTAGGGTTGATGATGGCAGAAGTGCAGATGGGCCTGATTGACGCATTCCGTCCGATGTTCATCAAGCTCCAGTTGCTCACTCATGATGAGTTTTCCTCTCTTCGGGCGCGCGTCATAGCAGAAATTGAAGATCCAACTTTAAAGTTGCAAATACCTTTCGTCGCTGCATGGGGCCGTAAAGTTATTGAAAATTCTGGCTAGCTAGCTTGAGGCTATGTATTTCTATTTGTATATAGTGTTGTCAGGCGTCAGTCAGTGTTGACCGAAAATCTTCAACTTGTTTAGTTTGTCTTGACTACCCATCTCGTTAGAGACGGAGAAAGCCAGTGTGGCAGCACATTTGTGCTTAGCCAGGCCTCCAGATTCTATAAAGTGTTGCAGGAGATATTGCCCCTGGCTTCAGCTTGTCCTGTCGGCATATTCTGTGCAGTGTGACACAGTGTCTTCGTTGCGTGTAGTATTGGATCACTTCCATACTGTATAGAATTGAGAATTGATACTACCATCTCTGCCAGCATCAGCAAACTACAACTTTCCTCACAGAAAGCACAGGATTTGCGTTCCCACGACAGTCAGCCACAGATTTCACAGTTCCGCCAATAGTCAGCACATAGTGCCGCAAGGTATACATTTACTACAGTTACTCACAGTTCTACACGGCTCACAGGACTTGCATTTGAAAGTCGACCTAGTCCGGCGAGTAGCTAGCCCGTAGTTAGCCCGTAGTAGTGCTATACTACTTCAAGTATATATAACAATACTACCATTGAAACTTGAACTCGATATTTTATTTCGGACTGACTTCGGACAACGCAAAATTTAATTAAAACAACATAAGCATGAGACATTGTATGAACCGGAAAGGACAACATAGTACTAATACTAGTAGTACACGAGACGAATATCATAATAACATAAACTTGAACTTGAACTTGAAACGACTCTTCACCACGACAAATAGATCAATCGAGCTGGATAGTGAGAATGCGGCCATCTGGGTCTATTGTAGCAGATGATACATTTCCTGCACTTGATGAGGACAATTGTTTTCTCTCACCGATCGTGAACTTACCGGCGCGTTGATGATCACCTTCACGTTGTTTTGGAGATAAAGGAGGACAACGAGTCCAGCTATGCTTTTTGAAGGCGAGTCTCATGCACCCCGAGCCTATGTCTGCATCGTCTAGCGTCTTCTCCACAATGCCTACTCGAAATTTGAGCAAGCTCGCCAACAATTCACTTTCCCATTGTAAACACTCTGCGAGTGCCTTCTGTCACGGAACAGATGCATCAATATCTCTAGTTGGATACAAAGAGTTTGTCGCACCAGTAGTTACAGATGTGTGAAACATCAAGGCGGTTGTTGGCCAGGTACAGACACGAGGCAAAACCTTTATCATTGACCGGTGATTAGGACCTGGTGGCAACGAAGAGATTGGAGTCGGTTCAGATACATCGGATAGTGATTAGTGTCATGTATATGTAATCTCATTACGAACCAGATCCTAACAGCAATGATACTCGAGACGATTGTAATGATCTGAGTTAGGTTTTCATTTAGTGTCGGCGGCGGCACAGGGCTGCGGACGCTGGAAAGGACACTTTGGATTGCGTAATCGATGGACTTGGTCTGCGTTTCGAGGTAGGGCTGGGAGTGGTACTTGTCAGTCGATAAAACAGATAGGTGTGCTGGTAGAGCTGTCCTTGAGCTCGGACCAAGCGTCCTCGTAACAATGAAGTTGACTGAGAGAGGTCACAGTGCAGTCAGCACAAAGCGAACACTAAGCAGCTCAAATCTATTAATGAGGTGAGGAAGGATCTCGTACTGAAAATGTAATCCTACTACCCTAGCCTCGTCTGATTGCAGCATGACTAAAGCCCAGTTCAGGAAGTCTGCTGCTCCGATGCAGCGCGACACACGTCAGCATCCACGGCAAGGGTTCTTGGAAAGTCCTTCATGATATTGTGACGAGACGATACTGGAGCTGTCATGGACATGTAAGCGTCCAGAAGGTGCATGGAAGTCGCATGAGCCTCCAGCTCAGTGGCATGTGAATGTTGGCTAGCATGGCGAACCCAGCATAAACTTGCTCACAGGCAAGATAGCGAGCCTCCGGAGACAACATTTGCTGTTGCCTTGAGATGATGCATTGCAGAATCCACACTGTCAGTATCTTCGCCCGCTCCGGTGCCATCAAGCCCTGAATGATGGAATGATAGATAGACCTTAGCTAGCAAGTTATGGACTACTAATTGATGAGGATCATGTTGCGTCAACAGAGTCAATGCACAGCGTAAGTTCTCTCGTGACTCGTCGAGGTCTTCTCTATTGCCTCGATGGTCAAAGCTGATGGAGAGTCGAATTGCAAGGTCATTTAATGACGACGACCGATCTACGTGACCGACCGGACATAAAGCCAGCGCTTCCCTGAAAAGTGCGATGCTCCGATCCAAGTCTTCGTTGCTGCCTCAACGGTCAAAGCGAGTGGAGAGTTGATTCGCAAGGTTATTTAATGAGGACGACTGATCTGTGTGACCGACTGGGCGCAAAGCCAGCGCTTCCCTGTGAAGTGCGAAGGCCAGATCCAAGCCTTCGTCATTGCCTCGGTGGCGAAAGCGAGAGGAGAGTTGAACCGCGAGGTGCAAGGATTGGCCAAGGAGGTACAATAATCTAGATAGAAATGAGCAAAAAAAAATGGTTGGGGTAGGTGGAGGTGGTGGGTGGTGGAAGGGGAAGTGGTGCTCCACTACTCAGTCTCAGGGCAAGGACGGGCCATACCGGACTTCATAGGGAGGGGAGTTTGAGCAAACCAAAAAGGACACTCACCGAAAGGAAACACCTTCATATCCGGTGGAGCAGTCAGAAATCAAAGAAATAAGAAGTTTAATGTCCAACCGGAGTTCGGGGCCATCAGCCTCTGGAAGGGATTAAACTGGATCAAGAGAAAGAGGAAATGATCCAGGACTGGACACTGAGGACAGTGAAGAACATGATCACGTGACCTCAACCTATCCCAAAGTCACTCTATTAGTAGTAGAATTTAACTAGGTATACATTAAATAAATTTGAAGAAACGATAAGACTGAAACCAAACACCGGACGTTGGAAATCCATGTGGCATCTCAGACCATACACTTGTGCACAACTGAACACCGGATAAATTCCTCGGAGCAACTTCACCCTGATTGAAGTGGTTACTGCAACACAATCAAAATCCGTCTCTTGGACTGTACCAGTGTAGGTTCAAAACCTGCCAATGATTTTTTTTTCCATCCGAACACGCCTTGAAGATTCACTGATGGACAGTTCCTTGAAGGTTCATATCAACTTTGCCTTGGCCAAAGTGGTTCTATCATAGAATCGAAATCTGTCTCCTGGATTGTACCAGTGCAGGTTCAAAACCTGACGAGGTTTTTTTTCTCTCAGAACACACCTTGAAATTCACTGATGGACATTTCCTTGGAGGTTCATTTCAGCTTCGCCTGGCCAAAGTGGTTACTACAACAGAATCGAAATATGTTTGTGTTGGCCTTGCGCAAGCTCGAAACCTTCCCACGACAAGGTTTTTCTCTATCGGAACACGCTGTGACATTTACTCATGGATGGATTCCTTGGAGGCTATCTTAATTGGTCTTAAAAGCTTAACCAAGTGGTTACCACAACAGAATCAAAATCTGTTTCTCTTGCAGTCGGTTCGAAACCTGCTAACAACATTTTTGCAGTGTATAGATCCTCAGAGCTCCGTCTTGACTAGGCACAGCCATTGCACCGAAACCTCCTTTTTATGTGATAGTCTGTCCATGAAATAGAATTCACCTTCACGCTTCGTGCGGATCGTCTCAGAAACCCAACCTAGATTCTCGACGGACTAACCAAAAACTGTTGGAATTCACCACCAAATGGAACATTGATGGAGCTGGAGGCCAGAAGAATGCATGCAAGCTAAAGACAGTGAGTCTGACGGTCAGGCAGATGATGTAACCTCCCCAGCCTCGCTGAAGTCTCATCGATGAACACTCCTTCGGTCGTTAGCTCTTCCAAAGCGACCGAGGATGATTCGAAAGCTAAAGGTGGGAGAATTGAAAGTGGCAGACCGAGCCATATCATTCTGATGTGTATAGTTTGCATGCGCTCCTGTTTTGTGTTGATGCGGGGCGGAACATGATTTCAATTGCCGCAGCAAGACCCGGGCAACTGAATGGAGATATCAATAGAGAGATCAACGCGAAACTCGTTCATGCGAAGCAGGCTTAGATACGACTGATGACTCGAAGGTACACGAAGTCCTTTCACCTATCACGGACGCGTGACATTGACTAAGGGAGCGCGGCTGTCCAGCTTTCCATATGCAAACGTGTTGCGTGACGTGCATTTGAATCAAGGAGTAAACTTTTTAATGCAACACACTGAACTACACATTGCGACAGATCACGTAGAAGTTCAAGAACAATTGAATATGTGGAGTTAAGTGGAGCCACTATTTCTAAAGATTGATGGTAGCAATGTAGTGATCAAGGGCTACTTCTGGTTCGTCCCAAAAAACGAAGTGGTTTCCTCCAGTCTGGAAATTGAACTCAACATCTCGTGCCTTTTCGGCATCAAGCCCGTAAATTGGCTTTGGGTCAGCCAAACACTTCCTTAGTTCATGTAACGCCCACACTAAAACACCAGGACTCGCTCCACCACACATGTATCTGACACGTAGGTTGGGGAGGAATTTCTCCGCCAAGGCCGTGTTGAATATCGCACGTCTTGCCATGGTATTGAATACGTCTGGTTGAATATAGAGAAGGAGTGTGTCTGAAGCACCGAAAGTCTTGGCAGACGTGAGCTCTGCGAGCTCCTCTGAAGACAGCTCGTGCATGGAGTGAGTTTTGTTCGAGAATTCGTTGAACTCGAGGTCATCAATGTTTCCTGAAGTGACGTTCTTGTGCGGGAAGTATGCCGTCGCCCATTCGTAGAAAAGATTGAATCTCTTCTCGACATCGGGTTCGAACCAGAGGTCTATATTGTAGATTGGGGGATTGGGTATACCAATGTTGACCGCACCCACATCTGCGGCACCGTTCAATATCCCGGATATGATGGCAGATGGAGTGCGCCTACCGTGAGAAACCATAGTATGGAGATACTTTCCAAGGTCAGAAAGAATACTAGATGGCAAGGCATCGAGATAGGCCACAAGTGCATGAGTGTGCAGAGACCCTAAAGACCATCCCATGAGCGCAATTCCACCACTGGCACCTTGCGCTGGGGGAATACGTTGCTCGCGGGCAAACGTAACAAGGAAAGTAGCAATTTCGACCGCTTGACTGCGAAGGAAATTCTCCTGTCCCTCCACCGTACCGGAGGCGAGACTAGCCAAGTCTGCATCACGAAAGCTAGTGGTGGGATTATAATCACGCCTGTATAGGCTGACTATGCGGAGACGGCGCGCAGTAGCTAGAGGGAAAAGCTTCCTGAAAACACCTGCATAAGGAATAAGTCAGCAGGGCTTTATGGAGTACTAATGTAATCGCACCTCCGTTGAAACCCATGCCATGGACGAAGACCAAGGTTGTATATATATTTCCAGGGACTTCGCCACTATCAAAGTAAGAGTAGGACACGTCATCACTGGTGATCAGACTTTCGAACTGAGTTGAAGTGGGCATCTTCGAGTGGGGTGTGCACACTCACTGAACAGACTCGAATCCCTCTTTATGAAGGAAAGATAGCTTGAACGTATTTGCACGGTCATGCACACAGTGGCTGGCATCAACATCAATCACGGCGATCAGATCCAAGTTCTTTGAGCCAGTAACGTTGACATGTCATGAAACGTTTACTACATGGCGAACTAGTTTGACTTCCTTATAGAGTTTATCGAGAAGGAAGAATCAACCAGAGTCCTGGCAGATGAGGAAATGATGCACCTCACTGGCAAGATCTATCATACGGTACGACTACGTACGGTGACCCTAGTAACATGGAACTTTGCGCAGATGTTTCAGAACAGCGATCAATCGATCAGCGCTGCGCCAAGCCTGAATATTACATAAATAGCTATCTCACGGTCTCGTCATTAGTCCCCGGTCATCGAATCACTGATTCTACTAGAGGCAGTTGGGATATATATCATTACATCATGCATTTGTAGGTAAGATCATACTACACACAGATATGGACCGGGTATAACTGATTCTCACACCTACTACAGGAATTGAACGCCTCAATGATTTATATAAGTTCAATGCGCCAGGTCCACGCCCTTACACTACGCTTTTAGTTGAGAGTCCTTCCCCTCAAAATTTCGACTAGACGTTGTGCAGACATGGAAGCTCCAACAATGGGTCTGAGTGACCAATGGGCAATTCCATTGAGCATAACTAGCGTAATCATAGTGACTTCAATTTTGGTTCGAAGAGCCTCCCAGAAACCATTGCCACCAGGTCAGTTGATATGATCACGGCGGTGCCACCAGTGTTGCCAACTTGTGACTAACGTAGTGCTGTCGCGCAGGCCCGCGCTCGTTCTTTGGAGGAGGCATTTCTCGTGCACTCCAAGCAGAGCCTTGGAAAGTATACTCGCAATGGTCTCACAAATGGGGTGCGTTCAACGTAAATGACTTGTAAGCAGATTGTAACTAACAATTCAATGAAGGCGCCGTCATATACCTTCGAGTGTTCGGCCCGCGATATCGTTGTGCTCAATGGTGCTCGTGTGGCTGAGGATTTGTTAGAAAAGCGATCCAAGATTTATGCTGATCGCCCCACTTGGCCGATGGCCGACTTGATTGGCCGTCAGAATAATGTCGGATTTACATACTATGGTAACAAACTTCGGGCATCAAGGAAACTACTCCACGCATCACTGGGCACTGGCGCAAGAAACGAGTGGAATCCCATGTTAGTAGAAGAGTGTAAACATGTGATGAAGCTCTTGGTCGATCATCCAGAGCATTGGATGAGCCACGTCAAGTCGTAAGGTGTCGACCAATTCCGTAACTCTGATTTCACTGAGTGAAGTACGCAGACACGTTGCCTCTCTTGTGCTTCGCTTCACCTACGGTCGCAAATTATCCGAAGATTATGTTCGCATGGCAGAAGAAATCAACTTCGACACTGGGATGGCACTTCAGCCTGGATGGATAGTAGATTCTTTGCCGTTCTGTTCGTCTATTAACATCAGTCATACTGTATTGTACTGTATTAACCTTACTTCGCAACAGTGAAATACCTCCCAACTTGGTTACCAGGCATGCACTTCAAGAGATGGGCATTGACTGCGAGATCGAGGTTCGAAAGATGCACGCAAGAGCCTTATACTGCAACCCGTTTAGCTGTCGTGCGTAGTATTACGACTATCACACGCGCCTATACTAAAAATCCCTATAAACGCACTGGTCAGCTCAATGGCACTGCTCCGCCATCATTTGTTGCCCGCCATTTAACCTCGATGGTTAATTGTTTGTCGCCCTTTGAAGAGCAGGTCCTCATGCACACCGCCGGAAGCGTATATGGAGGTAAGATGCTCGCATCACCCCTTCGTCATATTCACTATTTTTCTTTGCTTTGGATCAGCTGCAACCGACACTGTAAGTAGTTTGCTGGGTTACTCACACTTTGCTGACGCAGAGACTGTGTATAACAGACATCTGCTTTTCTCATGTCGTTCATTCTTCTTATGGTCGTGTTTCAGGACATTCAGGAAAAGGCTCATGCTGAACTTGTCAACTTGGTCGGACACCATAGGCTTCCCACCGTAGATGATCAGGCTTCGCTTCCTTACATCGAGGCGCTCATCAAAGAAATACATAGATTTAATCCCGTCATTAATCTTGTTCCACATAGCCCGATGGAAGAAGATGAATACGAGGGCTATCGTATTCCTCGTAAGTCTTGGATCATGTGCAACGTCTGGTGAGTCTTTTTTCGTTTTATTAGCAGATGCAGCCCACATGTGAGATAGGTCTATGACCCATGACCCCGAGATATACCAAGACGCCGAAGTCTTTAATCCCGATCGGCACCTTTCTGGGACGGTCAAAGATCCGAGGCAATTTACCTTTGGTTTCGGAAGACGGTCATTTCACTCCCTTTTTGCTTGAATTAGCTTGCAGACGTGGTTTATTTAGGTCCTGCCCTGGTGTTCACTTTGCCAACGCCGAAACTTTCATGTTCATTACCCATGCCCTCCTCTTATTTAAGATCAGTCCTGCGACAAACGTAAATGAAGCAGAGACTCATCCGCCATTGTCATATACGTCAACCTTTACATCGTGCGCCATCACATATTTCCATCCTGTGGTATGCTGATAACTTATGCAACAGCCAGCCGACACCTTTTGACTGCCTGTTCGAGTTGCGGGATCCCATCCTGAAGGAATTCCTTTGTGTTTGAGTGGGTCAATAAATTGACGAGTTGCGGTGCCACAAGTTGTATTCTAGATTACCACCTCTTACACCCGTGATTTCCATATTACAATCTGTTGATTGAAGCAGTAAAAAAACTGGACGAGAATATAGTTATCCGTAGCTGACAATTTAAAGGTTCGAAAGGAAACATTGAACTGCATTATGATAATATTATGACAACTTCTTGTCATCAGCGGCGTCCATCGCCGTCATGACCAGTTTGGACAGGCGAGAAGCCATGTCGATCGTCATTATGAAGGGTATGATGAAGAACGGAATGTAGCTCGATAACAGTAGGAAGCGTTGAGAAGTTGTCACAGAAACTACTTTGTCAGTTATGGTCTGCGCACTGGTTGTGGGCGTTGTCATCAAGACAGACAGGCACGGTAAAGTTGTGGTGGTGGTGGATGCGGCGTATATGAGGAGAAGCACGTAGATGGATCGCGAATCTGATTGCTGATTAGCCACACATTCACGTTTGAGCAGATACAATTCAGGGATGTCTCACCTCGCCAAAGGCCTCTTGCTCCGAGTACGAAGACAGGAAGTTGAAAGAGGCTGCGTATATAGATGCGGTTTAGGATGCGAAACAATATTTAGTCAGACACTCATACGCTTCAACTGCAAGGAAGGTCTTGAACCAAACAAAAGGCTGGCTATCTCCCAACATGCCCAAGACGTTCCCAATCAACGGGTCGTTCGACATTTGGACATATAATTGTGGGAGAGCGCGTATGAAATACGGTGTTAACGACGGAGGGTACAGGGCTTGCAGATCAATGAGCAGAGTTGCGGGTATATGAACCTATTTCCGTCAAGTATGTAGGATGTATAACAGCTGATTTGACGTACCAGGAAAAAGGCGAAGTAGACCAGGTCCAAGGGACGAGAAGTGATTGGACTCGCCGTACGCATGATTCGCAACGATGATGTCTTCAAAATTAGTTGCAGTCTTAGGTGGTTTAAGAAATTGTTCAAGTTGCATGTCGGGCCGTCGGTACTCGGATGCTCCTACACCAGATAATCTTCGAGGTTCAACATTTGACATGTCTCGATACCCTTACACCCGTTTATTTTGGCAGTCAAAGCAATCCATCGTCATCGCAGGACCTCACATACAAGTCCTTGACACTGAGTAGCAGGTTTTTTATTGTTTACATTCCGACACTTACTCCTTTTCAGCACGGGTGATGTCCTACATTCAACCGCGAAATGTGAGGAAGATCGAATCACATCGGGACCCATCCGTTGTGCCGCGTTGAGTGATTGCGGAAAGTTCCTCGCAACTTCAGGAGATGATAAGAAGCTCAAGACCTGGCAAGTTGATGACCTAAAACTCCTCAGTTCAAGGTATGTATTTCTATCGCTCTAGCCTTTCGCTGTCCTGAAGGCAGCGCAGAGTGCTGCCGAAGAAGCCAACATATATTAATTTTGCGGATAACAAAGACATACTCGTTGCAGACAAGTTCGGTGACATATTCCGGTAGGAATGTTCGATACCAAACAATATCCCACAGTAACTTTTCGTTCCCTAGTTATCAGCTGCATCCAAGCTCAAACGAATCATCAAGTGGGTATACGCGTGACGCTCTTTCATCTCATGAAAATCCCTCTGGCGGAGAACTCATCCTTGGTCACGCTTCCCTCCTGACTACATTTTTGATGACCGCCGACAGGCAGTACATCGTGACTGCCGATAGGGACGAACATATTAGAGTCAGCTGGTACCCCCAGGGATACACGATCGAGAGCTACTGCCTCGGTCATCAAAAGTGCGAAGTCTTGTTCTATTTGAGCTCGGAAACCCTAATACCACACGATTCAGATATGTTTCTGCAATTCATATTCCTTCGTTTTCTCCAGGGACGCTCATCTCTGGTGGTGGAGATTCCGTGTTAAAACTATGGGATTGGATGAACGGGAAACTACTACGTGACATCGATGTCTTTTCTGCCGTTCAACCCTTCATCGCGGTAAGGGCGCCTAAAAAGACAAGGGAATGGAAGGATGAAGACGATGATATAGAGCCAACTGAAGGAAAAGGAGGACGAAGAAAGAATAAAGGGAGACGCAAAAAGAAACGAAGTGCTGACGACGGCGACGTAGACGAAAGCCAAGATTCTGCAGTGCCTGAGAGACGACCTGGAGAAGCGTCGACAGAGGATAGCGAGGTTGTGTTTGTGGTGCACAGGGTGGCATCTATCCCCTCGCTAGCGCCAAGAATCGTGTTCAGTGTGGTCGGGTAGGTGTTATATGTCGCATATTGCGCCAGCTAATGATATCGGACAGGGCTACTGCTATCTTCTGGTTTTCAATGGACGACAACTGCGAGACTTGTATACGGCACGAACCATTCTATAAACCTATCATTGACTTCACCCTGGAAGACGATGGGTCTGTTTGGGTTTTACTTGATACTGATCGATCTTCACAAGGAGGCCGGAGCCGCAAGGGCGAAGGCGGTGACTCGAATTTGGTTGAAGTACGACGATGGACACCAGACAATGTTACCTACTTTCTCTCTTACCAAACCAATCGGCTACTCACAGTGTTATTATTAACAGTTCACGGCAAGCCATCCTCCGCCATTAGCTTTGGCGCTCAACTCTTGTACTCTGCCCGGTAAATCTGTATCATTTCTACTTCAGACTCAATTATGACCAGAATCCTAGCCACTCAAGCTGATCTCAAAGTTCTGGACTTGTACTCTGATCTCTTGGCGCTTCCCAAGCATTTCGAAGCTGAGGCTGAGGACAGGACCCAGGACTTGCCTGAGATGGGTATCGATGATGCGGCAACCCCAGATGGTGGATCAAATGACGGGGGCATTACCAAGAGAGAATTAGGGAGGTTAAAGCATAAGCAAGCCCTGCAGCGTTTGCAGGAGGTAGGTCGGGGAGCAAGTCTGGATTTCGAGTTATTGCCAACGGACAGCAAGAGAGTGAAGAGTGGAGGAGGAGACACCCTTGCACTAGGCATAGATGGAACATAAACTTGAACTCTGCTATGAGTTCGTATTTCCACCCTATAAGCAACCCATTCGAAAAGCACAACAGCAAACTTAGTGTACAAATATCTTGGTAAACACGAAAATTTGTCTAATCAAGAATGATTTAACCTTGCCATACGAGACTTAAGATACACAACGGGGTTAGTGATATTTAAGATAGTTTTAATGTTGTCCAGAATGTAAAGAACATTTTTAAAATTTAAGCTAACATAAATATGGGTACATAACTTCAAATTTCGCCAGTATTTGTGCGAAATTCAAAATATTAAGCTTTGGCGATCATTTTTGCACTGACCATACATCACCAACAATAAAAAATATAGTCGGAATTTAAGTGTCTGCTTGAATTTAAAGTTTTATTATGACATTTAGTTTGGGACAATGACTTGAAGTTTGGTCCATGACTACTGTGTTAAGTTGTGTCAAACAATTGGATGCTGCCAAAAACTTCAAGTTCACGGCAGCAACAAAATGTGATGACAAAACTTCAAGTTTTGTCTTCAGATTAAATATATCACCCAATCATTGCCTGCCCTTCACCCACTCACCAACCTGCAAAAATGCAAGAGATTAAATAAATAAATTTATATAGACTGAAATCTACAAGTCGAGTTAGGAGGAAACATCAATAGTGGTGTGTGGTAGGTAGTTTCAGTCGCAAGATAAGGATAAAATCACTGCATGACAGTCAGAAACCCTCCATCACGCAAAGTGACTGATGACCCATGAAACCTTGGCATTTTCAAGGCGATTTTCGAGGTCTGTCAAGTACAATTTTGCCAGAAAATCAGGATAAATTGGGAAGGGATCAACAGTATAGGGGTGAGTGGGAGATGTCGCTGTACAGCAAATAATAACTCTCCTGTCAGCATAGCATAGATATATTTGATACTGGCAGGAACAGGGGTTAATGACCAATCTCCATGAGGATAGAAGAAAATTTGGCTGTTCCCCAAGTGTGTAGACACCCTACTGTAGATAACACCATCGAACTTGAGTATGGCGCATAATACTGCTGTTCGTTGTCTGATGAGGGTATATAGGTCTTCAGGCACTGCACTACTCATTGCACAGTCGGCAACCTGCATGACATCATTCATAGGATCTTTGGCAAGCTTGTGGACAGAATTCATAGCACTTTTGGGGTTAAAGGCTCGATCAAACAGGACCCCACACTCTTGAATAGCAGGTGGACAGTCTGTTCTAGTGAGCCAAGAGTGAAGTCTTGCAGCTTTGATATACAAAAGAAGCATTGTGTTTTCAAGCTCCCCTAAAAGAACATAAGTCCAACTTTCTCATTCGTGTTTTGACAAGGACATACCAAATTTGTGATTCACTGGAAGGCATTGTAAAATTCCAATCAGACGTTCAAAAGGAAAACACCACCATGAGTGGGCGGGCCTGAATAGGAGCAGATAGTCATATATGTGGAAAGATGCATGGTGATTTGGTTGCAGAGAGAAGGTGGGATGAATTTTCTGTAACTCTCCGACATAAGCAGTGATATGTGAGCAATAGGCTTGAACCCTTCTTGCCATCATTGTTCTCACACAAGCAAGATACACTGTGCAGACTAATTCCATAGTGTGATCAAGAATAGTTCTGAGGCAAACAGCCTGTTTGTCAGAAGAATGTGAGGTACCAAGCTCCCCACAAGCTCACGAGGGCGATGGGAAGGTAGACCGTGATAAGGGATTGCCACTCATCAGCCTTAATTGTTCCAGCAGATGCCTCTCTGAATTCTTGGGGACTGAACCAAGCCAAGTAGGGGTGGTCATATCATGGATGACGTCACAGATTCATTCAAGTACCTTTGCTGTCTCGAATGAACGAACTTTTTGAGGGGCAGCTAAAGGTTGTCCACAACGCTGTGAAGTACATATTGAAAAACTGAAGGCAAGAAGCCTCACGGTGAAGAGCTTACCCAATATTAAGAAGAGCCTTGACATAGTCAATCTTCAGCGTTCTGCCAACTTTCTGGGGTATACAATACAAAGAATTGCAGGCAAACCACAACAGTCCTGAATTTTTGTGAGACAGAGAGTTTTTCAGCTTGTCAAAGCATTCCTCCACTTGCTTATCACCGCCAGAGCCTATATGAGATAAGAGGAGGGTGCGAATTGCAGATATCTGTGTTACCTCCTTGGCTGTCATTGTCTCAGAAGGTACTTCACCAAAGTCACATGCAAATGCCGGGGAGGACGACATCAATGTGGTTGACTCTGAAGTCAAACCAAGCAGATTTCAGGTGTGGTGTTGGACCAAACCTTCCCATATGCAGTGCATTGGATTAATGACAAGTTGTCGGGAGGGATCCCAGTATGGTAAACGCCAGAGTTTGGAAGTGCGCACACCATGAGCCTTGAACAGTCTTGCACATTCAGAGGATGTAGCGGCATCTCTCCACTACTCAGCATATTTTCGCAGTGTTGCTCTATCATGAGGTTCTGTTAAGACCGTACTCAAGTAGTATCGGATCCGAAGGGCTTCAGGCCTCAGCTCGTGCGCTGTGCCCCTTTCCCGAGTCTTGCCCCTTATTTCAGAGAGCTAAAGTATCGCGTATATAGAGTAACGGCCAATCCGGATCGGATCCGGACTAGAAACTAACGGGTGAGGACTGTCCGAAGACAGAGGCGGATATGTAGACTATAGGAATCTATCCTAAGTCTCGGAGTAGACAAGAGTAGCGTACTCAAGTCCGGATGGATAACGGAGGGACTCAGAGTCCAGACGGAATGAGTGCAATCTAAGATGATATTCGAACTGATCTACTACAGCGCATATACAAAGGTTTATATACTACGGATAGCTAACGGAATGATCAATAAGCAAAGGTGCGAGGCTATGTACGAAAGTATAAGCAAAGTCTAAGTGGAGCGTATTGGTAAGTTGGATGGATCACGAATCATGAACCGGGAATGAAGTACAAGTAAAAGCGGATTCGTAAGTGTAGCGGATCAGTAAGCATAGCGGATCAGTAAGCATAGCGGAAGTAAAGGATAACCGGTATACCGGTGTACAGGAATACCGAAAGGAGATGAACGATAGTTAGAGTTATATGAACAGGAAATGAAATAAGAATCAAAGCGGATCTGTGGACCAGACGACGGATATGTTCATCGGATCTGGATCGGATCTGTAACCGGATATATGGTATATGACAGGTTCCCCACTTCTTGAAGTCTACTCTTCCACAGGTAGACTTGTGATAACAATTGCACGCACTGCAGTAGAAGTGACTGCCGACTCCAGCCATAGAGGCAATATGACGAGCAACAGGAAGGTCGCAAACGACAAGAGCAACAGTGCTACAATTAAGCCGGCTGTGGGGATAACAAGCAGTTTTGGAGAACCTAATACCATGCTGCCATGCATCTACCAAATCATTGATAAGCGGTTTGGATGTAGTGGTTGAGATTCTCTAGTGACGGCTGCTTCGGACCTGGGATGATACCCGCAAGATACATGTTCTCCAATTTGTATCTGATATCCAATGGTAAATTTAAGCACATCATAGAGATGATTCTGCATGATGTACTAGCTCTGCGGATATTCAGACCTTCCAGAGTGAAAAAATCCACATGAAGAGTGAAGGCATAGCGTCCTTCCTCCTCCTCTATCAACAAAAAGTGAGCCTGGCTGAGGACCACTGAACTGATGGAGAAATTGAGCTCAAAGGGGGTTTTGACGAAGGACGAATGAGGGGAATCAATGGAGTCCATGAGATCGTTGCATGCCTGATCCATCATGGCCTCAGTATCTCTGCGAGAGTGTCATATACCATATATCTGGGTACAGATCCGATCTGATTCTTATTCATGTCCTGTTCATATAACTCTAACTATCATTCATCTCCTTTCAGTATTCCTGTACACCGGTATTCCGGCTATCCTTTACTTCCGCTATGCTTACTGATCCGCTGTGGTGTTCAAACTTTCTGTGGCATTGCAGAGGCACTTTTCACTATGCATCTCTTATTGACACTTTCCTTAGATTAGGTTCGCACTTTTTGCTGCTTACATAATCATCTTCCCTTTACCTAGGACTCTACAGTCATTACCTAGTTTTCCCTGTTTCCAGTTCTTTGGTTGCTCCCCCATTCACTTGGGTTATTTAGTAGCATCCCCTAGTTGTAGCTTTCCTAGTTGTAGCTCCCTCAGCTCACCAGATAGCTCCTGGAACATAGTTTTCTTACCTTGACTTGGAGTACCTTCTCCACTCTCTTTCTTTGAGCCTGAGCCTAGTCAGAGATCCTTTAGGGTTGAACGTTCTTGCTAGCAAGAGTAGCAGCTAGGAGAGCAGGAGACTCATATATTTGGTTTGATGCTTTTACCTACAGCCCAGCCATATCTTGTCATCACACCGCTTTAACTTATACTTCATTCCCAGTTCATGATTCGTGATCCATCCGACTTACCAATACACTGTGCACATACTTTGCTTATACTTTGTACATAGCCTCGTGCCTTTGCTTATTGATCATTCCGTAGTAGTTATATCTGTAGTATATAAACCCTTGTACATGTGCTGTAGTAGATCAGTTCAAATATCATCTTAGATTGCACTCATTCCGTCTGGACTCTAAGTCCCTCTGTTATCCATCTGGACTTGAGTACGATACTCTTGTCTACTCTGAGACTTAGGATTGATTCCTATAGTCTGTATCTTCGCCTCTGTCTTCAGACAGTCCTCATCCGTTAGTTTCTAGTTCGGATCCGATCTGGATTAGCCGTTACTCTATACGTCCGATATCCGGAAGCCTTAACAGATCCATTATGATACTATCCGTCTCACTAGACACAATACTTCAGTACTCTGAAATAAGGGGCAAGACTCGGGAAAGGGGCACAGTGCACGAGCTGAGGCCAAAGCCCTCGGATCCGAGGACATCTTGAGTACAGTCTTAACAGAGAGAGGGAGACTGAACAGATAATCTTTGAAATCATGGTACAGGAAAATCTTCCTGGGGACGCAATTCTCCATCAGCACCAACAAGCAAAGCCTTGCCACATTTGGTTGCGGGTGTAGGATGATGTGTGCACCGTTCAGGATATACTGAGGTCATCAAGCCTGGTGCATAAGTCGGTGCATAGGTGCAATGGCAGCTGCAG